TGTCTCTGTTTATAGTCTGTCTGTGCAATTTTTTTGCAGCAGCTGAGAATATGATCAATAGTTTCATCAGCTTCTTTACATAATCTGCATGTTGGATCATCAGCAGATTTTTCAATTCTTGCCTTAATTGCATTTGTTCTGATTGCTTGTTCCTGGGCTGCAAAAATCAGGCCTTCTGTCTCCTTCTTCAATGCTCCATTGGTAAGCCATAACCAGGTTCTTTCTTTATCCACCTTTCCTTCAATTTTGTCCAGGAACTGTCCATGTAACGCCTTATTACGCCAGCTATCAGCTCTAGCTTGTAATGTAGTTTTCTTATACTGATTCTTTGTCTGCTGTGCTTTAAGGAGTTTTCTATCATTGACAGCAATCAATGCAGGCTCACTACTGTCCTTGACGTATTCTGCCAGTGCATATTTTTCTTCTTCAACAGTTTGTTTTACTTGTAATAGGCCTCTACCACCCAACCTTCTAGGCAGATACAACCGGTCTACATCGCTGCGCGGATGTAGCGAACAATAAATGGTCATGAGTTTTCTTGTTTTTCTATCGAGATTGTCCAATTCTGCTTGTGTCCAGTTTATAATACCCGCAGTGTATCTAATGACAGGTATAGCCCAGGTGTTCATGGCCTTGATCGTATTGCCTCCATTGAGCTTGCTTTTGAGAATCTTTCTAATCCTCTGAGTATACTCTCTGCTAATGACAGTTTTCACTTGCTCGTGCCTGATACTGTCCAGCTGTAGTATGCCCAGGTATTTGTAGGCTTCTGGCTGGTGGCACTTTATGGTTTGACCATTATTATTATTATTATTATTATTATTATTATTCAGCAAATTTGACACAAACCAGCCAAAATAGTACCTGTAGTGATTGGAACACTAGATGCTATACCAAAAAATCTCCACCAGCATTTAAAAACTCTCAACATCAGCAAAATTACCACCTGCCAAATGCAAAAACCTGCACTTCTTGGATCTGCCAATATCTTATACTAGTACAGTATATTACACAAGTTCCTAGGAGGGGCTCAATTCAAATGTAATCTATTACCAGCAGGAGATCTTGTTTCTGTGTTTTTTAAGTCAAGATAAATTATTTACATAATGATGATAATGTTATAAGTGAACTAATAATAAAAATTAAATTAGTTTCCTGTGAAGATTTCAATATTTAGTTTTTATGATTTTTTGGTGTCTGAATATGGTTATTTTTCAGCTTGTTTCCATAAACCTAAGTGTTATTGTAATTAACTGTGGTATTTTACTGTATGTTAATTTGATGTGCAACATACCTAAGTAGTGTCTGTGTATTGTATTATGGCATGGTAAAACTATTACAGTAGACATACATATGCAATTTTATATAGGATTATGTGCAGCCTTAGGAACCATACATCATTATATACATTATTTCTCATGTTTGAGTTATGACTAATTCAATATTCTATAAGTCCTGATTTAAGACAGAGGTCTTGGAAGAGTCTGTACTGCTATAGAACTTGTAGATAGATGGATAGGTATTCATTTGGAGCTGTTTTAAAAGATTGAAAACTATAATAATAAATTAAAATTTGTTAATTATTAAGGTTTGTAGATTTTAAGACGAGAAACGGAAAATCTAATTGAAATTTTGTAAAAGATTGATCTCTCGTATTCAATTTTTGGCATATATTTTAATAGTCTAAAATACTTTAGACTTTTATTTATTTTAAATATTTGACTTTCTATTAAAACTAAATTAAATATATACCATTAATTAATTAATATTCAATGATCAGCATATAATTGATTATTTAATTTTATATGTTAAATGAAATTTTATGTTTTTAAAATTCAGTTTCACATATCTATTTTAGAATTTGGTTTTATTTATTTTAATTGGGAATAAATATTTGAATGAAAATTGTTTTCATTTTTCCATATATTTTAGTGTTGTTAAAGGAAGTGCTCCAAAAGTAGGCGAAAGAGTATTAGTTGAAGCAGCTTATAATCCTAATATGCCATTCAAGTGGAATGCCACTCGTATTCAAGTTCTTCCTAATCAAGTATATTTGTTGCATATTTATTTTATGATTAAACATGATTATTAAATATAATTACTAAATAATGTTGAATTGTTTTTCAGTTAAATGTTTTACCATCTGCATGTAATCGATCTATGCTTGCAGCAGCAAATACTCTTGCTGCAAATCCTAATGTATCTGCTGCAGGTACAGCTATGACATTAGCTTTAACTCAAGGTATTCAAAATAATATTGCTGCTATGGTTTGCCAGCCAGCTTCTGTTCAAAATACTTTTAGAAATGTTTCACAACTTGGTGAGAATAAATTCTGATTGACAATTTATTAATTAATTTTTTGACACAATCAACTTCTGGTGCTTATAATACAAAAAATGATCCATTGGGTAACCGTTCCATCACACCTGAAGAAGAACTCAGGAGTTGGAAAACATTTGTACAGTGTTCATTTCTTGTATTATACACACTTGAAGTTGGTTCTGTCTGTTTTTACATATATCCCATTTTGAAGTGGTGTATATATTTTGGTACTAAGAAATGTTATTTCATTTATTAATTTACACAGGTCAGTCAATAGGTCCCTCAAGAATATCAAATTCGCTACCGTCCCGACGTCATTCTCCACCTTTAATTAGAAGAGATAGAGAGCGAGAACGTGAAAACAGACGTGATGAACGTAGAGATCGTTTTAGAGATAGAGAATATGACCGAGATCGTTATTCCCCAATTCCTTCTAGAAAAAGATCTCATTCACCAAAACGGACAAGTCATAGTCCAGCGCGTAGAAGGCCTAGAATCATTATACCAAAGTATTCTGTACAGCTTCCTAAAATATCCCTTGACATGTATGTATAAAGTTTATATATTTGGATATTATTTTATTTTCGGGCTTGAATATTTCCTGATTTCTTAATATTAGTGAAATGTTATCAATATTTGTTGATTTTATTTTTTTATAAATTTGATTATAGATATTGAAAGATGGTGAAAGTTATTTAATGAATGCTTGATAATTTTACTAATAAAGTCTGTAATTTGTTATATTTTTCGGTTTTGGCTAGGTTAGCATTATAATTCATAGTTAGGTTTTATAACTACTGTGCCGATCACTTCTCTACCTGATTTAATCACTTATTTTTGTGATTACTATGTGATAACAGAATCTATCTATGAAATTGAATGAAAGTTTACAAAAAATTGTCAACGGATGAAGTTTAAGTGTTCTTTATTCTTAGTCCCTTTTCATATACAATCAGAAAATAATAACAAAACTTTCTAAGTTCATACTTATTGTCCCAGCTATAATTTTTATTAAATGTATAATTTTTATAATTGATTGTGCTACCACCAGAAGGAAGATTGTAATGTTTTACATGTTGATATGGATGAGAAACCTCTAAATATAGGTAGACTCTGCCATGAAACTGTTATTTCCTGATGGTGTATGAAAAGGGACTAAGAGTAGAGGACATTTTTAAAGTTTGTTCATTGAGAATTTTTTATAAATTTTCCAAGTTCATATTCTTCGTTTATTATCTTTTTTGTTCAGTAGTCATACATATCTATTGTTTTTGTCTGTCATTAATGTTCAGATGTGCTACATTTGGTTGGTAATATTTTGAGTTTTTAAAACATTTAGATTGAATTTTGAGAAAGAACAATTTCATACAACATGTCTCAGAAAAGTGATTGAAAAAATTTATAATGTAGAATTTTATAACATGGAAGTTTGATTTATTTGGTTTGTTATCTTGTAAAAGCTTAGAACCAACTATCAAGTTAAATTATTTACTTGTACAATAACTAGTTTCAATTTAAATTTAATTAAATTTTAGCATTCCATTTTGGTTTTTTGAGTAATTTACTCTTCTAATTACTGTTATTATCATTAGTCATAGAGATTCAGTGAAACTGCTATTCACTGAGTAACTTTTCATAAATATAATATATTTTTAATTATACTTTGAAAGTTCGTTAATATATATACATATTTATTTTTATAGGAAAGAAGGTAATGTAACTGAATTCCGAAAGCGATATACTAATATGTATATTCCATCAGATTTTTGTAATGCACATATTCTGTGGCAAGAAGCTTTTCCTCCTCATCAGCCATTTAGTCTAGATCATCCATGTACATTTCATGTTATGCATAAAGACTTAAATCCTCTTAAAGAAAATGATGCAGTATTAGAACCTAATGATGCAGATTACCTCTTCAGTGCAAAAGTAATTTTATTTTAAGATAAAATATCTAAATTAATTTTATTTGTTTATTTTAAAAAGTAAAAGTTAATTCATGCATTATATTATCATTAGGTCATGTTGATTTCTGTTCCTCCAATTAAAGAAATGTATAAAAAGTGTTGTGCTTTAGCTGAAGATTCTGAAGATGCCAAAGAAACTCATGTTCATCCAACACGATTAATAAATTTTCTTGTCGGTTTAAAGGGTAAAAAGGAAACAGTAGCAATTGGTGGACCTTGGTCTCCATCTTTGGATGGTCCAAATCCAGAAGAGGATCCCTGTGTTTTAATTCGTACTGCCATTCGTACTTGTAAAGCTCTGACAGGAGTAGATTTGAGTGGATGTAGTCAGTGGTAAGTTATATATCTTTTTAGTGATATTATGATTGATTTAGGTTATTAATAAAATCTTTTTAAATTAATTTGGAGGTTTGAAAAGTGATATAAAGCATTTATGATCTACAGTTTGACTGAAAATGATGACAAAAAAAATCAACAAATTTTGAAGACATGTTTGAAATTTTTAAAGCTGTCAATAAATATATGTGTATTATGTGCAACTAAAATCAATTTTTCTCTCATAGATAATTCAGCAAATATCAAGCCATGGTATTGTTTAAAATTTGATATCCATGGAAATACTAAAGCCAAAATTATTATTTTTTTTATTTTTAATTATCACATTGGCATTTTTCACCAATTAAAACTAATTTTTCAGTATATTTTATAAGAAGCATATTGAGAATATAATAGAAAAATAAATATATTCATTATTGGATAGCAGAGTACAGTTCATGTATGTGTGTGTATGATTGAGTGAATGTTTGTTAGTTTGAATTGTGTTTTTCAACAGAAATAACGAATCTTAGAAAAACATTAAATACTAAATAAAATGTTACTTAAAAAAATTAAATATATAAAATCAATATAATTTATTTAAAAGTTTTACATAAATTAAGACGAAAAACTACTTAAATTTCATATGGGTCCTCAGAATGATAAATTTTGTAAATATATGAATACTTGTCTGCATCCAATAAAATAGTTTTTTAAATATTTTTAATTGATTTTGTGAATGAGTATTTTCACATTTCCATGATAAATTTTCATTTAAATTTATATTTAAATGAATACATTATAAGAATATATGCTAAGTAGTTATGTTTATATAATTTTGTAATTTTAATTTAGAGAAGTTTAGGGACAAGTTAAGATTCCTTAAGTTTTCTGAATTAATTAAAGGTACTATATCTGTATTTTGAATATATTTATATATACATATTTACATGTAAAAAGAAAGATTGCCCTAAATGAATATTTTATTTCCCTGCTAAAGACATGTTTATTTAAAAAAATATTTTTGAAACAAACAAAAATATATTCTTTTAAATTTAAAATTTTAATTTTTTTTTTAAAATATGTTTATAAATATTTTATATAAATTGTTTGATTTATTTTATTCTGGATTAATCTGAAATTTTACTTGATTTATACTTAATACTCAAATGAGAATTATTTTTAAATTATAATTCTTTTTTAAATTTTAAAGCAATGCAAGTCTCTTAACATGCATAAAATATTTTTTATTGTGATTATGATATTAAAATTTACAATAACTAAACATAATTACAATAATAGTATCAATGAACAAATAATGATACTTATACTTTTTTTCTTTTACATATCAAGATAATTTTAAAAAGAAAACAATTAAAATTAATATTTTAAAGATATAAATTATCATATGCAGTTTAAGAGATTATGCAGTTATTCAATTGGATTTTGATATTGTAATAATAATTTCTTCAGTTATTTTTTTTTTAATAAATGAAGAAATTATGTACAAGAAATTAATTAAATCATATTATTACTTTATCTGAAAATTTCATTAAATTGTTTTTATATAGTTATTCATAAAATTAAATGTTTCTATCCCAGAAATTTAAACATGCCATAATTTAGCAATTATAAAGTAAAATATAAATATCTCATACATGATTCAGAATAACAATATATATTGTATCATACTTATATTAAGTATAATACATTATAAAATATAGAAACTTATGATAACTTTTTATTTAAATTTCTCTAATTATTTTGCAAATAATTTTTATAAAAATGAAAATATTTTTAGTAATGCTAAATCTATTTCTGTAACAGTTTAAGAAGTCATATTTTAACAGATTTATGAACAATTCTAAATGCATTAAAAGTAATAATATGATTTAATGGTTAGGTTTATCATTTAAAACTTCATTAAAACATAGATGATGATAATTTTAATTGCAGGCAAGCAATCAGAAACTTTAGAAATTGTACACTTATATGTCATCATATATAAATAACAATAAAATGTTTATCTATTTTTTGAAGTATAAATTGAAAATTATTAAAAGAAGTAATAAAAACAGAAGAAAATATTAATAAATTAAATAGAGGATAACTATCTTATTAGTCATTTCTAACACAACTGAAGATGATAATTTTCCTGGAAATTTCTCTGATAAAATAATTTTGATGTGTATTTAAAGATTTGCTTCATATGTACAATTTTTATAATTTATTGATATAATTGAAGATAATATAAAAAGATTTTAAAAGTTTATTATAAATATTTATATAATTAAATGCAAAATGGAAATAACTGATAATGATGATAACATAATTTTTACTCATCTCACATATATTCAATTATATGATGATTGTGCAATAAATATATTTCAGTTTAAAAATAATAATGGCTATATGTGTTCATCATAAATTCTAAGTTTCTGCTTGTAGATTATATTGATAAAAGTTTTGTTAACTTATAAATAAAATGTTGAGTATGATCAAGTAATTGACAAGAAAAATACAAAAAAAGTACAAAATTTGTATTTAAAATAAAAATAATGTCTTTTAGCAGGTGTAATTTCCTTGTTTTGAGATATTTGGAATTCATAATAAAAAAATCACATTTTGTTTTAAATAAATTTTGATGTAAAATTTTGTCCCGAAACTTATTTTGTTTGTTTGTTTTTATTGTTTATTTGCCTGTGCAAAGTTTCATCATTTATGTGATGTCAAAAAATGCTGTTTTTCTACATTTTGTATAAAGAATATTTGGATAAAATATATTTTTTTGTTTCATCACAGGCAAATAAGCATGTAAACTTAGAATAAACTAAAATCGGAAACTTTACAGCTTTGCCAGGCAAGAGACATAAAAAAAAACCAGTTGACATAGCTGTCGCTGTCTTTCTCTCTGACCCTCCTTCCAGGTATCGATTTGTGGAGATCTACTATCACCGTGGAGAATCTGCCCACAAAGGACGTGTGGTGCCTGCGCGTGTTGAAACCGTGGTGATTTTCTTGCCAGACGTATGGAGTTGCCTGCCCACCCGACTAGAGTGGGATGGCTTGACGAACAGCTACAAAAAACAGCTTCAAAAGAATCTACATGAGGAGATGGAGGATGGGAACGAGATCCAGGCACTGATCATCTTCTTATTGATACTCATATTTCGGTTCTATTTTTCCTTCCTCTCAGTCATTTAAGGACTGCTGTCGCAGTGAAAAGAAGTAGTCAAGATCAATTATCCAATATTATTCTATTTATAAATTATTATAAATTATCCTGATTATCAAAATTTATTAAAAAATTTTCTAGAGATTGAAGAATATTGATCTTGACTAGTTCACTTCATTATCTTGTTAATGTTGTTACTTTTTTTGAGTCTCCTGTAAGGTCACGCTTCTGTGATGAGTGAAAATAATCCTGAGCCAGCTGCAAGTCATCTGAAATTTTTTTACATATTAGAAAAATTTTATTAGCTAAACACAAGGAACATTTCCAGGACAAAAGATTCATCACCAAAGGAGATTATTCATTTTACTTCCAGCTTATCAAAGAAGAAAACTACATCACAGAGTCATATTCTACGTTTTAATTTATTTTTTCTTCAAACTATTTTTTTTCTTCCCCCTCAAATTTTCATTAATTTCATTTTTTTATATTGTAACAAAAATACCATCCATCATATTGATTATATAGGGTGATTAAAAATTTTTCATTATCATCAAAAATTTTACTTTTATGTAAAATAAAAATAATTTTTTTAAGTTATGAAACTTTATTGATTCTGATTATATATGACAATTAATATTTCATATTGTACATGAAACTGAAATTTAAAAATGGATTACACAATATAACTTTTATACTTTTTGAAAAAGTAGTCTAAAAAATATTAAACATAGAAACATTCAGCTCAAAACATGATTAATTTTGAAATAATTTCTTAATTAAATTATTTTGTAATTAATATTATGAAAACAAGTTTATTTGGTTAATTTAAAATTAAATTTATCATATTTAATCAATGGAAAAATTATTAATAGTTTTTTTTTTTTTTTAATGGTTTATCTGAAAAATAAATTGTTGATAATGAAAGATTAATATTACTCTGTAAATCAGTAAAAAAAAAAAAGCTTAGAAACACAATTATTATTAAAATTTTTGAATAATTACTATTGTATTTGTGTTTATTTCATATTTGAATTGTTACTTTTAGGAAGAAGAGACTAATCATGAAGAAGAGGATGAAGAAGGAAAGAAAGAACCTACACATCATTCTGAACTGGATCCAAAAACAATGAAGGTTATTAACTATGCCAAAAAGTTATTGCTTGTAATAATTATGATTTATTCTGATTCTTAACCATATTTTTCTTAGCATATATTCAATATTTACATTGTCATTTATAAAAAACTTAATTGAATTAACTACATAAAGCAAAACTTAAAAGAAGAATTTTGTTTTCAGTAATAGTCTATAAAAACTGAATTCATTTATTTTTGTGATAGCATTAAAATTTTATGTAATTTAAATTTCTAATTCATCTCCATAATATTTTACTTATTTCCTAAAATTTGAACTTGTGAAGTTTCTAAATGGAGTCTGAAATAGAACTTATTTCTGCAAGATAATTTTAACTATGATTTGATTTGATTTGATATGACACTAACAAATTAAATGTAGAGTTTTTAAATATGATCCATTGAACTTTTTTGTAATACAGTAGAGTGTTGTTTATCCGAAGGTCGGTTATCCGAAGGAATTCCAGTCGACAAATTTAAATTTTCGCCAGTGCTGTGGCGCTGTAATCTTTGGCTATGTCTTCAGCTACTCAAATATTTTACGTTTTTGATACTAAATTAACTTTTGAAGTATAATTTTTTATTGTTTTTATATTTTTCAATATATTTATTTTGTTTGTACAAAATAAAAAATAATTTTTAATGATACAATAGTCTTTGTTAGGCTTAACATCGACAAAAATTCAACGTGAAACGAGACGCAACGGAGAAAAATTTCAACACGGGATAAATTAATATATTTTTTTGTACGTAATTGGTTATCCGAACAACCCCAGTCCCCAATTGATTCGGATAAACGACGCTCTACTGTAATACATAACTTTTCATTAAATACAAAATTACAATTTTAAGTCATGAATTCAAATCATTGATTGTTAAAATAAAATTCTATTAATTAAACTGATCAGACTTTATTAGTAGCTTCTAAACTTTTCTAATAATGTGTGTAATTTTATAATGTTCAGCAGTGGTATAGTTATATTTTAGGTATAGTTATATTTTATAGCATTACATTGTGTAACCTAATCGGTTCTTTAAATTTTAGGNCATATCTATTTTAGAATTTGGTTTTATTTATTTTAATTGGGAATAAATATTTGAATGAAAATTGTTTTCATTTTTCCATATATTTTAGTGTTGTTAAAGGAAGTGCTCCAAAAGTAGGCGAAAGAGTATTAGTTGAAGCAGCTTATAATCCTAATATGCCATTCAAGTGGAATGCCACTCGTATTCAAGTTCTTCCTAATCAAGTATATTTGTTGCATATTTATTTTATGATTAAACATGATTATTAAATATAATTACTAAATAATGTTGAATTGTTTTTCAGTTAAATGTTTTACCATCTGCATGTAATCGATCTATGCTTGCAGCAGCAAATACTCTTGCTGCAAATCCTAATGTATCTGCTGCAGGTACAGCTATGACATTAGCTTTAACTCAAGGTATTCAAAATAATATTGCTGCTATGGTTTGCCAGCCAGCTTCTGTTCAAAATACTTTTAGAAATGTTTCACAACTTGGTGAGAATAAATTCTGATTGACAATTTATTAATTAATTTTTTGACACAATCAACTTCTGGTGCTTATAATACAAAAAATGATCCATTGGGTAACCGTTCCATCACACCTGAAGAAGAACTCAGGAGTTGGAAAACATTTGTACAGTGTTCATTTCTTGTATTATACACACTTGAAGTTGGTTCTGTCTGTTTTTACATATATCCCATTTTGAAGTGGTGTATATATTTTGGTACTAAGAAATGTTATTTCATTTATTAATTTACACAGGTCAGTCAATAGGTCCCTCAAGAATATCAAATTCGCTACCGTCCCGACGTCATTCTCCACCTTTAATTAGAAGAGATAGAGAGCGAGAACGTGAAAACAGACGTGATGAACGTAGAGATCGTTTTAGAGATAGAGAATATGACCGAGATCGTTATTCCCCAATTCCTTCTAGAAAAAGATCTCATTCACCAAAACGGACAAGTCATAGTCCAGCGCGTAGAAGGCCTAGAATCATTATACCAAAGTATTCTGTACAGCTTCCTAAAATATCCCTTGACATGTATGTATAAAGTTTATATATTTGGATATTATTTTATTTTCGGGCTTGAATATTTCCTGATTTCTTAATATTAGTGAAATGTTATCAATATTTGTTGATTTTATTTTTTTATAAATTTGATTATAGATATTGAAAGATGGTGAAAGTTATTTAATGAATGCTTGATAATTTTACTAATAAAGTCTGTAATTTGTTATATTTTTCGGTTTTGGCTAGGTTAGCATTATAATTCATAGTTAGGTTTTATAACTACTGTGCCGATCACTTCTCTACCTGATTTAATCACTTATTTTTGTGATTACTATGTGATAACAGAATCTATCTATGAAATTGAATGAAAGTTTACAAAAAATTGTCAACGGATGAAGTTTAAGTGTTCTTTATTCTTAGTCCCTTTTCATATACAATCAGAAAATAATAACAAAACTTTCTAAGTTCATACTTATTGTCCCAGCTATAATTTTTATTAAATGTATAATTTTTATAATTGATTGTGCTACCACCAGAAGGAAGATTGTAATGTTTTACATGTTGATATGGATGAGAAACCTCTAAATATAGGTAGACTCTGCCATGAAACTGTTATTTCCTGATGGTGTATGAAAAGGGACTAAGAGTAGAGGACATTTTTAAAGTTTGTTCATTGAGAATTTTTTATAAATTTTCCAAGTTCATATTCTTCGTTTATTATCTTTTTTGTTCAGTAGTCATACATATCTATTGTTTTTGTCTGTCATTAATGTTCAGATGTGCTACATTTGGTTGGTAATATTTTGAGTTTTTAAAACATTTAGATTGAATTTTGAGAAAGAACAATTTCATACAACATGTCTCAGAAAAGTGATTGAAAAAATTTATAATGTAGAATTTTATAACATGGAAGTTTGATTTATTTGGTTTGTTATCTTGTAAAAGCTTAGAACCAACTATCAAGTTAAATTATTTACTTGTACAATAACTAGTTTCAATTTAAATTTAATTAAATTTTAGCATTCCATTTTGGTTTTTTGAGTAATTTACTCTTCTAATTACTGTTATTATCATTAGTCATAGAGATTCAGTGAAACTGCTATTCACTGAGTAACTTTTCATAAATATAATATATTTTTAATTATACTTTGAAAGTTCGTTAATATATATACATATTTATTTTTATAGGAAAGAAGGTAATGTAACTGAATTCCGAAAGCGATATACTAATATGTATATTCCATCAGATTTTTGTAATGCACATATTCTGTGGCAAGAAGCTTTTCCTCCTCATCAGCCATTTAGTCTAGATCATCCATGTACATTTCATGTTATGCATAAAGACTTAAATCCTCTTAAAGAAAATGATGCAGTATTAGAACCTAATGATGCAGATTACCTCTTCAGTGCAAAAGTAATTTTATTTTAAGATAAAATATCTAAATTAATTTTATTTGTTTATTTTAAAAAGTAAAAGTTAATTCATGCATTATATTATCATTAGGTCATGTTGATTTCTGTTCCTCCAATTAAAGAAATGTATAAAAAGTGTTGTGCTTTAGCTGAAGATTCTGAAGATGCCAAAGAAACTCATGTTCATCCAACACGATTAATAAATTTTCTTGTCGGTTTAAAGGGTAAAAAGGAAACAGTAGCAATTGGTGGACCTTGGTCTCCATCTTTGGATGGTCCAAATCCAGAAGAGGATCCCTGTGTTTTAATTCGTACTGCCATTCGTACTTGTAAAGCTCTGACAGGAGTAGATTTGAGTGGATGTAGTCAGTGGTAAGTTATATATCTTTTTAGTGATATTATGATTGATTTAGGTTATTAATAAAATCTTTTTAAATTAATTTGGAGGTTTGAAAAGTGATATAAAGCATTTATGATCTACAGTTTGACTGAAAATGATGACAAAAAAAATCAACAAATTTTGAAGACATGTTTGAAATTTTTAAAGCTGTCAATAAATATATGTGTATTATGTGCAACTAAAATCAATTTTTCTCTCATAGATAATTCAGCAAATATCAAGCCATGGTATTGTTTAAAATTTGATATCCATGGAAATACTAAAGCCAAAATTATTATTTTTTTTATTTTTAATTATCACATTGGCATTTTTCACCAATTAAAACTAATTTTTCAGTATATTTTATAAGAAGCATATTGAGAATATAATAGAAAAATAAATATATTCATTATTGGATAGCAGAGTACAGTTCATGTATGTGTGTGTATGATTGAGTGAATGTTTGTTAGTTTGAATTGTGTTTTTCAACAGAAATAACGAATCTTAGAAAAACATTAAATACTAAATAAAATGTTACTTAAAAAAATTAAATATATAAAATCAATATAATTTATTTAAAAGTTTTACATAAATTAAGACGAAAAACTACTTAAATTTCATATGGGTCCTCAGAATGATAAATTTTGTAAATATATGAATACTTGTCTGCATCCAATAAAATAGTTTTTTAAATATTTTTAATTGATTTTGTGAATGAGTATTTTCACATTTCCATGATAAATTTTCATTTAAATTTATATTTAAATGAATACATTATAAGAATATATGCTAAGTAGTTATGTTTATATAATTTTGTAATTTTAATTTAGAGAAGTTTAGGGACAAGTTAAGATTCCTTAAGTTTTCTGAATTAATTAAAGGTACTATATCTGTATTTTGAATATATTTATATATACATATTTACATGTAAAAAGAAAGATTGCCCTAAATGAATATTTTATTTCCCTGCTAAAGACATGTTTATTTAAAAAAATATTTTTGAAACAAACAAAAATATATTCTTTTAAATTTAAAATTTTAATTTTTTTTTTAAAATATGTTTATAAATATTTTATATAAATTGTTTGATTTATTTTATTCTGGATTAATCTGAAATTTTACTTGATTTATACTTAATACTCAAATGAGAATTATTTTTAAATTATAATTCTTTTTTAAATTTTAAAGCAATGCAAGTCTCTTAACATGCATAAAATATTTTTTATTGTGATTATGATATTAAAATTTACAATAACTAAACATAATTACAATAATAGTATCAATGAACAAATAATGATACTTATACTTTTTTTCTTTTACATATCAAGATAATTTTAAAAAGAAAACAATTAAAATTAATATTTTAAAGATATAAATTATCATATGCAGTTTAAGAGATTATGCAGTTATTCAATTGGATTTTGATATTGTAATAATAATTTCTTCAGTTATTTTTTTTTTAATAAATGAAGAAATTATGTACAAGAAATTAATTAAATCATATTATTACTTTATCTGAAAATTTCATTAAATTGTTTTTATATAGTTATTCATAAAATTAAATGTTTCTATCCCAGAAATTTAAACATGCCATAATTTAGCAATTATAAAGTAAAATATAAATATCTCATACATGATTCAGAATAACAATATATATTGTATCATACTTATATTAAGTATAATACATTATAAAATATAGAAACTTATGATAACTTTTTATTTAAATTTCTCTAATTATTTTGCAAATAATTTTTATAAAAATGAAAATATTTTTAGTAATGCTAAATCTATTTCTGTAACAGTTTAAGAAGTCATATTTTAACAGATTTATGAACAATTCTAAATGCATTAAAAGTAATAATATGATTTAATGGTTAGGTTTATCATTTAAAACTTCATTAAAACATAGATGATGATAATTTTAATTGCAGGCAAGCAATCAGAAACTTTAGAAATTGTACACTTATATGTCATCATATATAAATAACAATAAAATGTTTATCTATTTTTTGAAGTATAAATTGAAAATTATTAAAAGAAGTAATAAAAACAGAAGAAAATATTAATAAATTAAATAGAGGATAACTATCTTATTAGTCATTTCTAACACAACTGAAGATGATAATTTTCCTGGAAATTTCTCTGATAAAATAATTTTGATGTGTATTTAAAGATTTGCTTCATATGTACAATTTTTATAATTTATTGATATAATTGAAGATAATATAAAAAGATTTTAAAAGTTTATTATAAATATTTATATAATTAAATGCAAAATGGAAATAACTGATAATGATGATAACATAATTTTTACTCATCTCACATATATTCAATTATATGATGATTGTGCAATAAATATATTTCAGTTTAAAAATAATAATGGCTATATGTGTTCATCATAAATTCTAAGTTTCTGCTTGTAGATTATATTGATAAAAGTTTTGTTAACTTATAAATAAAATGTTGAGTATGATCAAGTAATTGACAAGAAAAATACAAAAAAAGTACAAAATTTGTATTTAAAATAAAAATAATGTCTTTTAGCAGGTGTAATTTCCTTGTTTTGAGATATTTGGAATTCATAATAAAAAAATCACATTTTGTTTTAAATAAATTTTGATGTAAAATTTTGTCCCGAAACTTATTTTGTTTGTTTGTTTTTATTGTTTATTTGCCTGTGCAAAGTTTCATCATTTATGTGATGTCAAAAAATGCTGTTTTTCTACATTTTGTATAAAGAATATTTGGATAAAATATATTTTTTTGTTTCATCACAGGCAAATAAGCATGTAAACTTAGAATAAACTAAAATCGGAAACTTTACAGCTTTGCCAGGCAAGAGACATAAAAAAAAACCAGTTGACATAGCTGTCGCTGTCTTTCTCTCTGACCCTCCTTCCAGGTATCGATTTGTGGAGATCTACTATCACCGTGGAGAATCTGCCCACAAAGGACGTGTGGTGCCTGCGCGTGTTGAAACCGTGGTGATTTTCTTGCCAGACGTATGGAGTTGCCTGCCCACCCGACTAGAGTGGGATGGCTTGACGAACAGCTACAAAAAACAGCTTCAAAAGAATCTACATGAGGAGATGGAGGATGGGAACGAGATCCAGGCACTGATCATCTTCTTATTGATACTCATATTTCGGTTCTATTTTTCCTTCCTCTCAGTCATTTAAGGACTGCTGTCGCAGTGAAAAGAAGTAGTCAAGATCAATTATCCAATATTATTCTATTTATAAATTATTATAAATTATCCTGATTATCAAAATTTATTAAAAAATTTTCTAGAGATTGAAGAATATTGATCTTGACTAGTTCACTTCATTATCTTGTTAATGTTGTTACTTTTTTTGAGTCTCCTGTAAGGTCACGCTTCTGTGATGAGTGAAAATAATCCTGAGCCAGCTGCAAGTCATCTGAAATTTTTTTACATATTAGAAAAATTTTATTAGCTAAACACAAGGAACATTTCCAGGACAAAAGATTCATCACCAAAGGAGATTATTCATTTTACTTCCAGCTTATCAAAGAAGAAAACTACATCACAGAGTCATATTCTACGTTTTAATTTATTTTTTCTTCAAACTATTTTTTTTCTTCCCCCTCAAATTTTCATTAATTTCATTTTTTTATATTGTAACAAAAATACCATCCATCATATTGATTATATAGGGTGATTAAAAATTTTTCATTATCATCAAAAATTTTACTTTTATGTAAAATAAAAATAATTTTTTTAAGTTATGAAACTTTATTGATTCTGATTATATATGACAATTAATATTTCATATTGTACATGAAACTGAAATTTAAAAATGGATTACACAATATAACTTTTATACTTTTTGAAAAAGTAGTCTAAAAAATATTAAACATAGAAACATTCAGCTCAAAACATGATTAATTTTGAAATAATTTCTTAATTAAATTATTTTGTAATTAATATTATGAAAACAAGTTTATTTGGTTAATTTAAAATTAAATTTATCATATTTAATCAATGGAAAAATTATTAATAGTTTTTTTTTTTTTTTAATGGTTTATCTGAAAAATAAATTGTTGATAATGAAAGATTAATATTACTCTGTAAATCAGTAAAAAAAAAAAAGCTTAGAAACACAATTATTATTAAAATTTTTGAATAATTACTATTGTATTTGTGTTTATTTCATATTTGAATTGTTACTTTTAGGAAGAAGAGACTAATCATGAAGAAGAGGATGAAGAAGGAAAGAAAGAACCTACACATCATTCTGAACTGGATCCAAAAACAATGAAGGTTATTAACTATGCCAAAAAGTTATTGCTTGTAATAATTATGATTTATTCTGATTCTTAACCATATTTTTCTTAGCATATATTCAATATTTACATTGTCATTTATAAAAAACTTAATTGAATTAACTACATAAAGCAAAACTTAAAAGAAGAATTTTGTTTTCAGTAATAGTCTATAAAAACTGAATTCATTTATTTTTGTGATAGCATTAAAATTTTATGTAATTTAAATTTCTAATTCATCTCCATAATATTTTACTTATTTCCTAAAATTTGAACTTGTGAAGTTTCTAAATGGAGTCTGAAATAGAACTTATTTCTGCAAGATAATTTTAACTATGATTTGATTTGATTTGATATGACACTAACAAATTAAATGTAGAGTTTTTAAATATGATCCATTGAACTTTTTTGTAATACAGTAGAGTGTTGTTTATCCGAAGGTCGGTTATCCGAAGGAATTCCAGTCGACAAATTTAAATTTTCGCCAGTGCTGTGGCGCTGTAATCTTTGGCTATGTCTTCAGCTACTCAAATATTTTACGTTTTTGATACTAAATTAACTTTTGAAGTATAATTTTTTATTGTTTTTATATTTTTCAATATATTTATTTTGTTTGTACAAAATAAAAAATAATTTTTAATGATACAATAGTCTTTGTTAGGCTTAACATCGACAAAAATTCAACGTGAAACGAGACGCAACGGAGAAAAATTTCAACACGGGATAAATTAATATATTTTTTTGTACGTAATTGGTTATCCGAACAACCCCAGTCCCCAATTGATTCGGATAAACGACGCTCTACTGTAATACATAACTTTTCATTAAATACAAAATTACAATTTTAAGTCATGAATTCAAATCATTGATTGTTAAAATAAAATTCTATTAATTAAACTGATCAGACTTTATTAGTAGCTTCTAAACTTTTCTAATAATGTGTGTAATTTTATAATGTTCAGCAGTGGTATAGTTATATTTTAGGTATAGTTATATTTTATAGCATTACATTGTGTAACCTAATCGGTTCTTTAAATTTTAGGGCTTATCTTTCCAATGAATAAGATATTAAAAACAAAAGTAATTTATTAAAATTATTGGTTTCTTTAATTGTGATGTCTTTGTTATTTGAACCTTTTTAATGTAATTTTTATGTATATTTTGTTTTATCATCATCAAACCCTAACTGAAGGACTCCAGAGTCTAAAATGCATTTTGGGTGTACTAGTATGTATTAATTAAAATTAAATCGTTGTAGATTTTATATACTAATTGTAAAATTTAGATATAAAAATAAACTACTTTAATTTATAATATCATCTTCACTGTGTGATAAGCTCTAAAATTTAGAGAACTGGTTACGTTCTCACAATTTAATGTAGTACTAAGGACAAAAATCAATGAATAATTGTAATAATAATATTTTACAAGTAATAATATATTGTAAATATGTTTTCTAAATTTCTTTATTTTATTTTAATTCTACTTTCAAAAATTCTAAACGTAATTTGATTTGCTGTTTAAATGAGATGAATTAATTCTAAATAAATTTCTCTATTCAGGAGTTTTTTAATTTTACAAAACACTTTAAAAAATACAAATATTTATAAAGGTATTTTTTTAAGAGTTAAAATTAATTTACATGTTTACAAGAAACATTAAAAATATATTGATGAACTCAGCTTTTCATTTTAACACTATGCAGCAACCATCTAAAAGTTATCAAAAGTGAATATAGAATTAAGCTTTCACTTAGACATCTACTGTTCAATTAAATATATAAATATAAAATTACAATGTTTAATAATACTTTGTTTCCGTTTGTTCATCCGTCGTTCGCTCCAGTTGACAGTCCACAATTTTACAAACACGGAGGCGACCTTTCTTTAGAGGCTACTGCCTGTGCAATAAAATGCAAATATGGTAAAAAAAACGTCCTCTGGTGCTATCACCATTTTCACATTTTGAAGAAAAATAATAAATATAAACATGGCTGATGGTATTACATTTAATTAAATATATAAATATAAAATTTCAACGTTTAACAATACTTTGTTTTTGTTTGTTCATCCGTCGTTCGCTCCAGTATACAGTCCACAATTTTACAAACATGGAGGCGACCTTTGTTTAGAGGCTACTGCCTCCGCAATAAAATGTAAATGTGGTAAAAAACATCCTCAACACGGAGGCAGTAGCCTCTAAAGAAAGGTCGCCTCTATGTTTGTAAAATTGTGGACTATCAACTGGAGCGAACGACGAATGAACATATGGAAACAAAGTATTGTTAAACGTTGCAATTTTATATTTATATATTTAATTAAATGTAATACCGTCGGCCATGTTTATATTTATTATTTTTCTTCAAAATCTACTGTTCAGTTAGTAATTACTTTTAATTACTAAGCACAACCTTTTATAATCTTTTAGTCTTCATATGCAAATAATTATAGAACATACCCTAGTAATTGGAGTCTCTATAAAATATGTATTCACTAAATAAAATGTTTATTGCCACTTGATGGATATCAACATCAAAGGTTGTCTAAATAAAAGTCTAATTCTACATAGTGTTTTAGAGATGTTTTGGAATGTTACTGAATAACCTTAAAAGAACATTGAGGCCATTAATGTTTTTCATGTTTCTTATAAACATATGGATTGGCTTTAGTTTTTACTTTAAAAAAATATATTTTTAAGTATTTGTTTTTTTTTTTAATTGAAATTGTTTTTTGTATTTAAGATGAAATAATCATGACAAATTCGTATCTGCAGTAGTTATATTAGTTATAGAATTATCCACAATTCTTTCCTAACTTTTTTCACAAAAAAACCATCTTTGCTTTCATTATTGATTTAATAAAAATGTAAAAATATGTATTAACATAAATTTATTAGAAGTTTGATAAAGAAAATTTCTAAAATATTGCTTAATTTCATATTAATACAATAGTTTTTGATTTAATTTTGATGATACAAAGTTTTTAATTGTATAACAGTTGAGAAATTTATACTATCAAAAAGTTTCATTCAAAATCGATATAAACTTGCATTACATTTCTTTGAGGAAAATTATGGAATATTTGTTTAATTGTATAGTCTATAATCAGTGTAATAATTATATAAACACAATTTTAATTAATCTATGAGCAAGACATGTTCCTGTGAATGAAGTTTACAAAAGCACAATTTATATTATCAGAAAAGAATATCTTGAATGACTGACTAAAATGAAATTATAAAGTACTATTTTTTCAGATTATCCAAATACTATTAACTTTTGTCATGTTCCTTTAAAGAATTTGATAATCAAAAATCTAGAAATGTCTTTAATTTTAAATTAATTTGCAATTGAAATCCATTTTTTTGGTAATTGTTATTTTTGTGATTTTCTGAGATTTTTCAAATTTTATGTGTGACTGATATTATTTATCTTTGCATAAAATTACATAAGATGGATTGTTTTGATATTTTAATTTCTACAAATTTATATTACAATTAAAATGCTAAAAAATGTTTTTTTTTCATTAATATTCGTATTAAATATATTTTTTTAATTTTTTTAGATTTTTTTACATGATTTCTAATACCTTGGTTTGTATTAAGATATGTCTTCAAATCACAATAAATAGAACTGTTTTATCTTGAAAATGGATCATAAGTTGGCAAGATGTTAAAATCTTTACAGATAAATAAATTGCTTATTTAAGGAAGCAAAAGATATATAATGAGAAGTGATTTTTTTTCTGTTATTTTGATCATTATTAGCTTAAATATATTGTTGAATAGTTTAGAACAAAATTTAAAACAAAGAACATTAACTGTAGTAATGCTGATATTCTAATAGTTAACACTGGAATAAAGAATTCTGTCATTTAATTCAGGTAGGCATTGTCTATTGTTTATGTTAATAATTATTTATTAAAATTTTGATATACATAAAAATGCACTAGTGGCTAGAACACACTTGAAAAATAATATGACAAGTGCTTAGTGCACACTCGACTAATAAAATTGTATTATTGATAAATGAAAAATAATATTTGTTAATTGAAAATGTTAATAAAAGTATATTTTAACAAAAAATTTTAATAATTAGTTAAACTTAAGACTTTACCTAGTTAAAAATTTTAAACCTAAAAATAAAGTTTAGAAATGAATGTTTCTTTTTAACATAAAATACATTTGAGTTTAAAAAGCAATGATTTAACTGTGATATATTATTATTTAATTTTACAGGATTTTCTTTGAGGAAATGGCAATATTTTTAAAGCATGTTTTAGAGGCCTAAAGGATTCAAAAATATCTTACAAACATAGCTCTTCAAATGCATTATTTCAGTGCCAGGAGTTAAAATTTACTAGCTACTTCTTAAAATGCTGCTCTGCAGAACTACTATGCACAGCTGAAAAGCTTTAAACTTGTTGCCCTTCAGTGTACTATGCTGTTCTGAAGTGCAAGCAAACCTTATGTTTTTGCAAAAGTATACAGTTCTGAAGTTAAGAAGCTAAAGGGCAGTGAGATTAAGGCTTTTCTGTAGCACTTAGTAGTACTGCAGATCTTCATCTTAAAAGATAGCTAGTCTGAATTTTAACTCCTCCTGGCACTGAAACAATGCATTTAAAGGCTATGTTTATAAGATATTTTTAAAATCCCTGGGTCTCTGGAACATCCTGAGTATTGTTTTGATTTAGCTTTACTATAAATAGCAGTTCAATATATTTATATTTAGTAATTGTAATGATAGATAATGAGACTATGCTGTTTAAAAAGTGTTCTAAATGCATATTGTACTATGCAGTTTATTTAATTATTTATTTGCATCATTAGACTTTCTGTAAAATTAAATGTGATTCTTGATTGCTTTCTCATCACATTTGTAATAATTCAAAATCTTATTTTGAATAATTAGAATTTTTTTCCTAGTAATCTATTTAAATTTAAATTTTTGTATAAATGGCGTAATCTTTACATAATAATGTGTGTAATTTTTTTTTGAAATCATCATTACACATTATTGTTTTTAGCAATAAAATCAGTTCTACAAAATACTGTATAGATCTCAATTAGTGCTTATATAAGAGTAATAAATTTTTATTTTTAAGCATTTTCAATGGATTTGGTTTGCTTTCAAGGCTGCATTTATAAAAATTTGTTTCAAATAATTTTAGCACAAGTCTGGAATTTGAACCATGCCTGTTTGGTTGAATTGTTGAAAGTATTTGTTGCTGGATATATTATAACTATAAAAGTTTATATGAAGAGTACATAAAATCTTTATGCAATCATAACATTAGTAGAATGCAATATATATTTACTACATTGACATATTTCATACTACATTTTTATTAATAAATTTCTATCAGCTTATAATGTAAATTCCATCCAATGCACTGAAAACTCTGGTGGAAAATAAATCCTTCACACTTGTACAAGAACTAGATGTTGTCATATAATAGTTCAATGACATTTGAAACAACTGGGAAAAGTGCATGATCTATCACCAGCACAACTTAATTATTGTGTCAATGTGTTCATTTCATCGTACTCTCGTTACCTCTGAGCTCAATTTTTGGATCAAATTGTATTGGATATGAAAAATGGATACAATATAAGAGTATTAAATGCTGTCATTAATGGCTCAGTCCTGGTGATAAAGCAGTACTTCAAAATGTATCACACCTTGCATATCCTGCCAAAGTGAGCAATATCATTCAATGAAGACATTGTTCACTGTTTGATATATCCAAGGTGTGATACATTTTGAGCTGCTGGGAAGGAATGAAACAGTCATAGCTGACGTTTACTATCAGAAAATGGGCTGTTTGAAAAAGTCCCACAAGAAAAATGTCTAGAACTGATCAATAGGTGACATGTTCTGTTCCATCAAGATAATGCTTATCCACACACAGCTCTTATAACATCTAAAAAATTGGAGAAACTTGGTTAGGAAAAAGTGATACATCTCCCATATTTCAGAGATGTTGCTCCTTGGATTACCACTTATTTCAGAGCATGAAAAATTATCTTGATGGAAAGAACTTCAATTCTCTGGAAGAGAATTCTAAATTATTTTTTTCAATAGGTTTTCAAAAAATTGCCTGAAAGGTGGCATAAGATAATATCTAATAGGGGGCAATACATTTATGATTAAAAAATAAAGATTTTGTAAAAGAAAATTTAATAAATTTTTTAATTTTTTCGTGCGGAATTTACGTTACAACCTGATAATTTAATTATTGTCTAAATAAGAAGCAGTTTAAAAATTTATTCAATTATGAAAAGTGTTTACTCTTTTATTATAATCAATTTTATTTTATTTTCAAGGCCAAGAAGATTAATATATTATACATTTAATGAGCATAAGTAAATATTCAAATAAAGTGTGAAATCTAAAATAGCAAATGTTCAATTATTTAACAGGTGAATGATCTACGGAGTGAATTAGATGCAAGAAACATGAGTACAAAAGGGCTGAAATCCCAGTTAATTGCACGATTATCTAAAGCACTGAAAATAGAATTGGAACGGGAAGAGAAACAAGAATCAGATCATCCACTAGAGATTGATGAGCAAGGAGAAGATGCAGATAAAAAAGAAACTGATGATACTGAAGATGAGCGAAAGAAGGAGGTTAATTGGTTTTTTTAAATTTATCCATTGAAAATTATTTGCAAAATAACAATAATTTATTATTTAATAGGAAGATGCTAGGAAACAAACTGATAAAAAGGACCAGGTTTCTTTAGATGAATATTATCAATTACCTGAAACACCTTCCATCATAATACATCCCTCTAAAACAGCAAAAAATGGAAAATTTGATTGCACAGTCATGTCTCTCTCAGTTCTTTTGGATTATAGGCAAGCAGATAATAAAGAACATTCATTTGAGGTAAAAATATTACATATATAATTTTTTATTTCTGAGCATTTGCATTAAGCTTTTTCACAATGTCACTATTTATGAATATGAATTTTTAATTATGAATTTATGTATTCTTTGAGCTTATTATGTATTTCTCAGAAATGTTTTTGAAATTTTTGCATGCAACTATTTCTGATGAATTTTCCCATTTAACAAAATTGCTTCACCAGTACAACACATTGAAAATATTTGCAAAACAAATAAAAGTTGTTTTTCATTTGTTTTTCTAGTTTACTGTTCATTCTTTCACATGACTGGTGTTTCAACAGGAGACAACCTGTACCAAGTATAAGATAAATCCATTGAAAAAATAAACAAACAAAACTTGACAAATATTTTATAAATACTAAGGGGGATTTCTTCCACTTGTTCAAAAATTTCATTGTGATTCATTAATTTTTGATGCTGCCCTTACATGGTGGAAAAACATTCAAGATGATTTTAAGCTAAGGGATGTTCTATATGTATAGAATAGATATGACTTAATTTTAGACTGGGTTTATTTTCCTTTTATTTATTTATTTATTTTTTCTTTTATATTTGTTATTGAAATGTTTTAAATAGGTAGTAAATTGAAACTTTTCTGTTAAAAATTACACATACAGATTCAGTTGTAGAGTATTAATTTGTGTTATGCTACTTTTCTGATGATTATATTCAGTCTAAAAGCAATTCAAAAGTAGATTCACTTGTATGTTTTTCTCACTTAAACAATATTTTTATCAGTTTCCTTGAAGAATTTATAAAAGGGGTTCAACTGTAATCTGAAATTGACATTCACTTTCTCTCTTTTAACTTTTTTAAATAAGATGATGCCTTCAATATTTCTTTATTATTTTGTCAAATGAATTCCAAACCACTCAAATTTGTTGTCATCATTTATAATTTTATTTATCTCTGGGAGGCGTTTCCAACTCTCGGTGCTGCTAGTGAACTTTTCTACACACTTCATTTGTGACAATAATTTTAAAATCAACTATTCGATTTAACCATCTTTTTGACTTGATAAAAAAAATTAATAGTTAAAAGCATAAATAATAATAAGGAAAGCTTAATATTATTGGCAATGCAACGTTCTACAATTAAGCGGGGAAGACCGCCACTTAGCCGAGCCAAATCAGTGAGTAAATGCAATGATAACTCTGCAACAAGTTCCCGATTAATTACAGACTTTAATTTACAACTGGATAAAAATCTACAAGACACCTACATGGAGTCCAGGAACATTAACGAGAAGTCAGATCAACATAATATTCAAGATTTTTCAGGTGAACCAATTGCACTTGATACCTTACTACTTAACCTGGATGATTTATTAGACACTTCATCTACCGTTTTATGGAATAAGATATCCAATCTTATAAAAACATCTAATGATAAACTATTTAATCAAATTGCTGACATAAAGGAGGAATTGAATTTAATTTATGAAAATTTAAATGAAACTAAGGAAAAACAAACAAAAATGGAGGAACAGATTATGAATTTACGACAAATTAATACTATGCAAATTGAGAAGGACCTCACACAATTTAGAATGGATTCTCTAGTTAATGATTACAATCATAATAACATCATAATATATAAATATCAACTAACTCAAGAACTGTTTCTAAAGAAGAAATTCATAATTTTATTATTTCTTTACTGAATATTTGTAATATAGTTCAAGATTCATAAGTTTTTTTCGTTCGATGGTTCTTGTTATTTTTTATTATTTGAAGACAATTTGTCCAAGTAGGAATCACCATTTATTAGTTTTCTGCATTTTAGATGATAAATTTCGGTGACCGACCTTCCTTTCTAGGCTACTAGCCGCCAAAAATTTTTTATAAAGTCCTTTAAAAAACATAAAAAAACACTTCCAATTAAAAATTTTCTAAAATCTGAACTGGTGGTTTTCGAATGTCTTTCCTTTTACCATCTGTACCGTTTGGGGTGTTTCGGCCTTTTATCCACAGACAAGTGAGCGCTGGAAAATGTAGATCAAAAAGGTTCCCCCTGGTGACGATACTTTACAGTCATAATTCATAAGTTTTTTTCGTCCGATGGTTCTTGTTATTTTTTATTATTTGAAGACAATTCGTCCAAGTAGGAATCACTATTTATTAGTTTTCTGCATTTTAGACGATACAATTTCGGCAACCGACCTTCCTTTCTAGGCTAGTAGCCTAGAAAGGAATTAAAAATCTTGTCTTGTAGATTTTTAATTGGAAGTGTTTTTTTTTGTGTTTTTTAAAGGACTTTTTAAAAAAATTTTGGCGGCTAGTAGCCTAGAAAGGAAGGTCGGTCGCCGAAATTGTATCGTCTAAAATGCAGAAAAGTAATAAATGGTGATTCCTACTTGGACGAATTGTCTTCAAATAATAATAAATAGTTCAAGATGATATTTTAGATGTGGTTCAATTAATGAAACCACTGAAAATAACCATAAAAATAACTTTTAACAATAACCAACTTCGAAACCAGATCTTTTCTGCTTTTATTCGGAAGAAAATGCAAAATCAGCTTGAAGATTGGAGAGATACTCAAATATCTCCAGATTTCACTAAAAGCTCAAGAATAAGACGCAAAAATTTACTCCCAGCGTTACATGATATACAAAAACAAAATTCACAAGCCAAATTACATAATGATATCTTAATAACAGGAACTGACAAAATTACTTATAATATTAATATGAAAAATCTGGTATATTTAGATACCTTTTTATCTTATTCCAACTTGATAAACTTGGGAAGCTGATATAACAGAAATCAAAGGCATATACAAAGATCGCTTAATTTCAAGAGTAACCACTCCTTTGCTATAGTAAATTGGAATTGCCAAGGACTTAAACACAAAACTACATTTGTTAATTCTCTGCATATTAAATATAATCCGGTTATGATTGCCATGACAGAAACTTGGATAACATCAGATAAGTTATATAGTACAAATTTCTCGAATAAATTTATAATAGAATCTGCACTGGCAAGTAAATCAGTAGGTCCCGGACAACCGAGTGGTGGTCTATGTTTATTGATTGAAAGGGAGTATTGTAAAATAATCCAAGTTAAAAAATCTAGGAATTATATATTATTTCTCATCGTAATAACCAAAAATAAATTATTAAATAAGAATAATAAAACAATGATGATAATGTTAACTTATGTGCCACCCGGTGATCTAAATACTCTTAATGAAATCTTCAAAGTTATTGATATATGGTACTATATAACTCCATANTATATAATTAAATGCAAAATGGAAATAACTGATAATGATGATAACATAATTTTTACTCATCTCACATATATTCAATTATATGATGATTGTGCAATAAATATATTTCAGTTTAAAAATAATAATGGCTATATGTGTTCATCATAAATTCTAAGTTTCTGCTTGTAGATTATATTGATAAAAGTTTTGTTAACTTATAAATAAAATGTTGAGTATGATCAAGTAATTGACAAGAAAAATACAAAAAAAGTACAAAATTTGTATTTAAAATAAAAATAATGTCTTTTAGCAGGTGTAATTTCCTTGTTTTGAGATATTTGGAATTCATAATAAAAAAATCACATTTTGTTTTAAATAAATTTTGATGTAAAATTTTGTCCCGAAACTTATTTTGTTTGTTTGTTTTTATTGTTTATTTGCCTGTGCAAAGTTTCATCATTTATGTAATGTCAAAAAATGCTGTTTTTCTACATTTTGTATAAAGAATATTTGGATAAAATATATTTTTTTGTTTCATCACAGGCAAATAAGCATGTAAACTTAGAATAAACTAAAATCGGAAACTTTACAGCTTTGCCAGGCAAGAGACATAAAAAAAAACCAGTTGACATAGCTGTCGCTGTCTTTCTCTCTGACCCTCCTTCCAGGTATCGATTTGTGGAGATCTACTATCACCGTGGAGAATCTGCCCACAAAGGACGTGTGGTGCCTGCGCGTGTTGAAACCGTGGTGATTTTCTTGCCAGACGTATGGAGTTGCCTGCCCACCCGACTAGAGTGGGATGGCTTGACGAACAGCTACAAAAAACAGCTTCAAAAGAATCTACATGAGGAGATGGAGGATGGGAACGAGATCCAGGCACTGATCATCTTCTTATTGATACTCATATTTCGGTTCTATTTTTCCTTCCTCTCAGTCATTTAAGGACTGCTGTCGCAGTGAAAAGAAGTAGTCAAGATCAATTATCCAATATTATTCTATTTATAAATTATTATAAATTATCCTGATTATCAAAATTTATTAAAAAATTTTCTAGAGATTGAAGAATATTGATCTTGACTAGTTCACTTCATTATCTTGTTAATGTTGTTACTTTTTTTGAGTCTCCTGTAAGGTCACGCTTCTGTGATGAGTGAAAATAATCCTGAGCCAGCTGCAAGTCATCTGAAATTTTTTTACATATTAGAAAAATTTTATTAGCTAAACACAAGGAACATTTCCAGGACAAAAGATTCATCACCAAAGGAGATTATTCATTTTACTTCCAGCTTATCAAAGAAGAAAACTACATCACAGAGTCATATTCTACGTTTTAATTTATTTTTTCTTCAAACTATTTTTTTTCTTCCCCCTCAAATTTTCATTAATTTCATTTTTTTATATTGTAACAAAAATACCATCCATCATATTGATTATATAGGGTGATTAAAAATTTTTCATTATCATCAAAAATTTTACTTTTATGTAAAATAAAAATAATTTTTTTAAGTTATGAAACTTTATTGATTCTGATTATATATGACAATTAATATTTCATATTGTACATGAAACTGAAATTTAAAAATGGATTACACAATATAACTTTTATACTTTTTGAAAAAGTAGTCTAAAAAATATTAAACATAGAAACATTCAGCTCAAAACATGATTAATTTTGAAATAATTTCTTAATTAAATTATTTTGTAATTAATATTATGAAAACAAGTTTATTTGGTTAATTTAAAATTAAATTTATCATATTTAATCAATGGAAAAATTATTAATAGTTTTTTTTTTTTTTTAATGGTTTATCTGAAAAATAAATTGTTGATAATGAAAGATTAATATTACTCTGTAAATCAGTAAAAAAAAAAAAGCTTAGAAACACAATTATTATTAAAATTTTTGAATAATTACTATTGTATTTGTGTTTATTTCATATTTGAATTGTTACTTTTAGGAAGAAGAGACTAATCATGAAGAAGAGGATGAAGAAGGAAAGAAAGAACCTACACATCATTCTGAACTGGATCCAAAAACAATGAAGGTTATTAACTATGCCAAAAAGTTATTGCTTGTAATAATTATGATTTATTCTGATTCTTAACCATATTTTTCTTAGCATATATTCAATATTTACATTGTCATTTATAAAAAACTTAATTGAATTAACTACATAAAGCAAAACTTAAAAGAAGAATTTTGTTTTCAGTAATAGTCTATAAAAACTGAATTCATTTATTTTTGTGATAGCATTAAAATTTTATGTAATTTAAATTTCTAATTCATCTCCATAATATTTTACTTATTTCCTAAAATTTGAACTTGTGAAGTTTCTAAATGGAGTCTGAAATAGAACTTATTTCTGCAAGATAATTTTAACTATGATTTGATTTGATTTGATATGACACTAACAAATTAAATGTAGAGTTTTTAAATATGATCCATTGAACTTTTTTGTAATACAGTAGAGTGTTGTTTATCCGAAGGTCGGTTATCCGAAGGAATTCNTGGTCTATGTTTATTGATTGAAAGGGAGTATTGTAAAATAATCCAAGTTAAAAAATCTAGGAATTATATATTATTTCTCATCGTAATAACCAAAAATAAATTATTAAATAAGAATAATAAAACAATGATGATAATGTTAACTTATGTGCCACCCGGTGATCTAAATACTCTTAATGAAATCTTCAAAGTTATTGATATATGGTACTATATAACTCCATATATTATAATATTGGGTGATTTCAATTCCAGAATTGGTGAGGTAATGGACTCCAAATATAAGGGACCTAATCATTTAATTTATAATAGTCGGAAATCTAAGGATAAACAGGTTAATAATTTAGGAAAAAAATTACTAGACTTCATAACTGAAAACAAACTTTTTATACTGAATGGTCATATTAAACCTGACTTTCCTGCGGAATATACATGCTTAACCCACTTGGGGAAATCAACAATTGATCTTACAATATGTTCCAAACTACTGGACTATTGCACGAATTTTATGGCAACATTAATGGATGCATCAGATCACTTTCCCACAATAACCAAATTTCGACTATCTTCAGCAAAAGGAACCAACAACCAATACAACAATAGACCAAAAATAAAATATAAAATTTCAAAATATTGGAGGGAGATTGATAACCGTTTTATTGCCATTCCAGTAATAACGAGTACTAATAATGAAAAAATATACAATCTAATAACAACCATACTAAATGACTACATATGTGTAAATAAAAATAAAAGAAATATTCAAAGTAAAGCTAAAGAAGGATGGTTTGACTCTGACTGTTATAAAATGAGAATGACAAAACAAGCAGAATTTAAAAAATTCAGGCAAAATTCAACTGTACTTAACTTTAATAGTTATAAAAAAGCTAAACAAACTTATAATAATATCCTTAAAACTAAAAAATCAAATTATTTTTGCAAAATTGAACTAAACTTAATTAAAAATAACAATGATGGCAAAGTGTTCTGGAATACAATACGAAGATTTTGGCCTAAATCTAATTTAAACATAAATTTTGTTATAATAGATTTTAATACCTGGAAGCAGTTTTATAATAGATTTTCACAAACCCATACGGAAATACTGTTAAATACAAGAATAGAAGTTTATAATGATATTCTGGATTCTGACTTTATTATTACCGAATTGGATGATGTCATCAAAAAGTAAAACAACTCTAGGATACAACATTTTCTTAAAAATATTATCAAACAATTCTAGACTAAAAATCTTAAACTTATTTAACAGTATGTACAAATCTGTTTTCTTCCCCAATTCCTGGAACTCAGCCATTCTTACGATGATCTATAAAAAAGGCGATCCTTCCTCTCCTAGCAATTATAGACCAATAGCATTATTATCAGTTATAAGAAAATGTTTTACTTCACTTCTTGCAAACAAATTTAAGTTATGGACTAAAACTATGGGAATGGAAGCCAAATTCCAATTTGCATTCACTGTAAATAAAGGAACTGAATTTGCAATCTTCACTTTATTAATGATAATTCAACTATACCTTTTAAAAAAACACAGGAAAATATACGCTGCCTTCATTGACATTCAAAAAGCATTTGATTCAATATATGTTCCTCTGTTGATTCACAATCTTAAATCCTGCGGTGCAAGTACCTGATTTACTTCAGTAATCTCAAAACTATACTCAAACTATAACATCAAGATAAAACAAGGCAATAATATCTCTCAAACTTTATTAATATCCCGTGGAATCCTTCAAGGTGATACCCTTTCTCCATATTTATTCAATTTTTACTTTATAGGTATTGATCGTCTCTTTACTGAATCAACTGATAGAATTATAATAGGAAATAGAGTCTTTCATTATATTCTTTTTGCTGATGATCTTGTGCTTCTGGCCCCAACAAAGATTTCAGTACAAAGGAAAATTAGTCAACTCAATAAATTTCTACAATCATTATATCTAACAATAAATTCGACCAAAACGAAAGTTATCATATTCCACAATAACTGTAAAATATCTGAAAATAACACTAAATTATATCATGAAAATACTCCTTTACAAACTGTAAATGAAATAGACTATATGGGAGTCAGATTTGATTGGAACTTATCCTTTAAAGCACATTTTAGCAAAATAAAAATCAAAGCAAAGCAAGCCATAATTAATCTACTATTTGTATGTTCTAAGTTGAAAACTACCAATCTGAAAATTCATATTAAGTTATTTAACTCAACAATCGTTCCTATAATATATTATACAAGCCCAATATGGAGTTTAGACTATACAGTAAAGCGTCGATTTTCCGAATCAATTGGGGACTGGGGTTGTCCGGATAACTGATATTTCGGATAACTGATTTACGTACGAAAAAATAGTTTAACGTATCCGATTTCGAAATTTTTCTCCGTTGCGTGTCGCTTTGCGTTGAATTTTCGTCGATGTTAAGCCTAACAAAGACTATTGTATCGTTAAAAATTATTTTTTTATTTTGTACAAACAAAATAAATATATTGAAAAATAGAAAAACAATAAAAAATTATACTTCAGAAGTTAATTTAGTATCAAAAATGTAAAATATTTGAGTAGCCCAAACATAGCCAAAGATTGAAGCGCCACAGCACTGGCGAAAATTTAAATTTGCCGACTGGAATTCTTTCGGATGATTGACTTTCAGAAAATCGACGCTCTACTGTATATATAAATTGGAATATCTTCACATCTATTATTTACGCAAATTATTCCAACTAGAAAGAACTATTCCAGGCTATGCTCTGAGGCACGAAGTAAATCAGATTTGGTTCTTCCCTTTTGTATTGAAACGCATAATAAAATTTTATTACAGAATTAAATTTAAAAACGATAACACAATAATATATCTACATTAGTAGAAAGTAAAAATCAGAAATTTAAACAATTATGGCAATACAAGCTAAATCAGATTTTAAATAGTTTTGGTGTGTCGGAGTTACTATTTAAAGATAATATTAATGATTGGAAATTCGGCTATTCACTTCTAATAGACTCTGCAATTTCACAGGCAATAAACAAAGATCAAAATTCATTATATCAAAGTAGTTATCATCCATGGTACATCGATTTACTGCAAATTCCACCCTTACAATCTTATATGTCACAGCCAGTAAGTCTAAATGTTAAGCGATTAATAATTCATCTCCGTCTAAATAAATATTCTCTTTTTATTAATATTTATATTGACTTAACAACATCCTATTGCCCTTTATGTAATTCTGAAGAATTTTCATTATTTCATCTAATTCATAATTGTCAAGAACTTTCTAGACTGCGTAACCATTATAAAATATCTCAAATATTTAATTCTAATTCACCACTCGATTTCAAACTAAGTTTAAATAATCTCAGCAAAACGAATTTATATAAAATTTATAATTATTTTGTTAAAATTTCTGAAAAATACTATTCGACAAATCAAAACTAATGTTCATACTGGAATTTGTTGCCTTGTTAATATAGCTGGATCACTATGTACATAAATACAAATTGTTGTCTACAGAAATTATGACTTATCTTTGTACGTTTATACTCTAAATTTGCTAAATTGTAACTGTTTTTTAATCATTTGTAATATTCCCCCGTAACAGAAATTGTTCTCTATTGTTAATACTAACTTATATTGTATTATATTGTAATATTGATAAATAAAATCATATTATATTATATTTTATTTATCTCTGTGAATGAAAATATTAAATTTATTGGTCTTTATATTATTTGGTTTAATAAGAATAAAGCCTAATTTTAACTTGTTGAGGATATTAACAGAAAATTACAAGGGTCATTCAGAAAGTCTGTTGACCTAACCAACATATGAAGCTAACATAACAGTAATAAATAATAATAAAAACGTTATTCTAATGTCAAATATAACAGTAAAGTGTTATTCTGTTAATTAGTCATTTAGTTAAGTGTATAAAAAATGATAATTTTTATTTTTATAATTTTGTTATAAATAGGTATCATTATTTGCTGAATTGTTTAATGAAATGCTGATGAGAGATTTTGGATTTACTATTTATTATAAACTTGCAGAAATTCCTGAACCAAAAAATGAAAAAGTATTTTTATTTTCAAATCAAAATTGATGATAACTTATTTTTATACACTAATGTATAAAATCATCATCATTTTAGGAAGAGACTCATAAGAAAAAAGATGAAAAAGATTATGGTAGTGATCATGAAGAAGAAAGTGATGAAGATGAAGATAAAGGTATATTTAATATTAAATATTACATAATATAGTATATTCATTAATTTGGCCATATTGTTTTTCTGATAAGCTTAAAAAAATTCTCTCTATGGTAGTCTAATAAACAAGTATAATGTACAAAATAAAAAAAACTGTAACTAGTTTATTTTTATTATAATCTTGAAAAAAATTTGTCAAGTGTATTCTGACATCTTTTCTTTATTTACTGCAATTGAACAAAATCAGTGCATATGTCTAAAGTAGATAAAGGACTGTTTTCATTCTCTTCCTGAATGAAATAGTGTCTCAAATCAGCAACATGTTCTTTAGCATCCTACTCAGTTGCTTTCTTAAGGATATCATCACACATTTGGTCTTCTGAGGTCTCCAATCATTTTGTTGCATTTTGGGATTACTGAACAGAAGAATATCATTTTCTACTTTAAAAACCATTCTACAATGCAACTTGTAATAATTGACATAATTTTGATGCAACTAAAACCATACCATCTATAGTTTGCCATTCAGTTACAATTGTTGCTGTCCTAATAAGAGGCACAAATTTACATTAAATACATTGATTTGTTTCTGTTCTCTGTTTTGGCCCATATAGATAGATGGCTGTCCCAATTGAGTGGAATCTACTATACTTTTTGTGTATTCATATATTATTTTCATTAACTCTTTAGAGTATTAGTTTTTGTATTTGACTCCAGTTTTCATTTATTGCTTTGATGTTTCATTTCACATGTAATATTTCACATGCCACATGATTTGTAAAATTAATGTAAAATAAAAGCATGCTTTCTATACATTTCTCATAACATAGGTGATTTGAATAGTAAACTTTTTATTTCATAAATAATTACAATAGCCTTTCAGAAAGATCCATTCTATTTTGATATCTGACAATAATAAAAAAAAAACTTACTATTCAATGTTATTTCCAACTGATGCACATTTTATGATATTCTAGGTATAATTTTTTGTGCATGGAATAATTAAAAAGTATTTTGACAATTGTTCTAGAAATTTTATATCAAACATAATAAGAAATAATTTATAATCAAGGCTAATTGTATGCATAAGCAAAAACATTACAATCTTCAGCAGATGGCATTAAAAATGTATTAGTTTTTCTAGTACATTTTTAATGCCATCTGTTGAAGATTGTATGCATAACTAAAGAGGTTACAGTCAGCCATAAATTACCCAAAGAAAAAGCTTCGTCTGTGAATCATAACAAAAGCTTTCATAATTATAATGAGAATAAGTATCATTATAAATAAACTTATATAAAATTATTTTTAATTTAGTAATATTTTTCAATTAAAATATAATTTTGTTTACATTTTAAAATGTTTTGCCAACTGCTGACCGTAATTTGAAACTAATAGCTTGATAGTTTAATCAATGTTAACTCAGTTATAATTACAGTAGAGCGCCGTTTATCCGAAAGCCGGTCAACCGAAACGTCAGTTAACTGAAAGTGTTCCAGTCAGAAAATTTAAATTTCTGCTAGTGCTGTGGCACTGCAACTTTTTGCTATGTCTTGGGCTATTCCAATATTTTTTTTTTTTTTTTTGTTGGTGTGTATGTTTTAGCTGGCAGCACTGGCACTTTTGTGTAGTGTTTTTCTGAGGACTGTGTTGTGCTGAATCGAACATTTTTGATACTAGATTAATGTCTAAAGTTTTTTTTTTCTATTTTTCAATATATTTATTTTGTTTGTACAAAATAAAGAAATAATTTTTAACGATACAATAACCACGATTATTATTATAAAAATTTTTGTTAGGCTTAACATCGATGAAAATTCAATGCAAAGCGACACACAACAGAGAAAAATTTCAACATGGAATAGGTTAATATATTTTTTCGTACCTAATCAGTTGTCCAAATAACTCCAGTCCCCAATTGATTCAGATAAACGACGCTCTACTGTAAAAATTTTAAAAAGCAGGTAAATTAATGAATTTACTAAAAAGTTAAAATAAATTGATTTGTTTTAGTGTTGTTCCACACAAAAGATAATTTCTATAGTTATCTTGCAGAAGAAAAAAGTTGCAATTAATTCAAAAAATTGTAATTAAGGATTAAATAAATAAAAATTATTTAAAATAATAATTAAAACTCTGGTTTTTACACCAAAACTAAAAATAAAATCATCAAATCAATTGAAAATTACAACAATGTTTTTAAAAACCATTTAAAAGTTATTTTGAAATTGTAAATCAATTTAAAAATTTGTTATTAGTGTGCAGTGTTGATGAAATAACTGGAAAAAAATTTGGCATTTGATGATATTACATTTGAAATTTTCTAAACTTTCATTAATGCAAACCTCATTGATACAAAGTGCCAGTTGTATTAACGGGTTTGACTAATTTGTAGCTCTATTATTAATAATTTATATTTATTGAATAGTGAAATTAATTTTTAAATCTTTTATTTAAAAAGAAATCTCTCATGTGTTTAATTTCATTAGAAAAAAGAAAGAAAAAACACAAGAAAAAGCAAACCTGTACAGTTGATCCAAGTCTCTTATTAGCTTGTATCTACTTTGATCAAACGTATTGTGGTTATATTCTTGAAAAAGATTTAGAAGAATTACTATATATGATTGGATTAAAATTATCAAGATCACAAGTATGTACTTGTCATTATGTTCTAAAATAATCTTTAAAATTGTTAGTATCTAGATAACTTAACCTTATACATTTTCAGAAATAATTCATTATTATATATTAAAGTTTTGTTGGTTACAAGTAAAACTTTTTAATAAAATATTTAATAAGATTTTTTTCACTTCTGTATTGTCAATTATATTATTTGTTTAATTCTGAAATATTTTAAGAATTTTCTTAATCTAAGAGAAATTGCTATTTATCTGACTGCATGTTAATGAGTAAAGGCTTCTTCAAATTTTGTTGTTACTGTTTTTCTTTGTTCTTAACTTAATTTTAATGCAAAAAGTTTAATTAAAATTTTCATTGTTGCTCAGTCACTCTTTAAATTTAAAAAGTATGAAAAATATATACTTTGAGATAAAATTTATTCTTTATAACAAAAATAAGCTTAACCCATTCAGACCAGAATTTTTTTCTGGAGTGAAAAAATTTTTTTATGTTATAATATTAATTAGTAGTATTTTTATGATTTATAGAAGCAAAAAGCATTGAAATATATTTTTCTGTTTTCAAAATACAGTCTGTATACACTGGGTCACAACCTATGTTGAAATCACCTTGAAATTATAAACATACAGAATAACATATTGACACAATGTCATTAATTGTGAACTCTTTTATATACCCAATAAATAAATAAATACATACATACATAAATAAATAAATACATAAATACATACATACATAAATACATACCAGAAAGACATCAGCCATACACAAAGTGTTTAGCTGGCAGAAAAGAGCTGGCCTAAGGGAAAGGGGAGAGGAGATAGACAGTAGAGAAAGGTAGGATACCTCTGAACGGCATACATATGGTTACAGTACTCTCTATGTTTGATGTTGGCGTGCAGTTTTTATGCTGCAAGGCCGTAGTCCCCTGAAGGGTCTAAAAGAAAACCTGAGTGTAGTGAACACCAATAATTGAGTGCCCTAATGTGATTGTACCTATTGAAGCAAAAACTAAGTGAAGTTGTGTTTGGTCCTCCTGAATACCACAATTGCATTGTGGATTGTCCCCAAGGTTAAATCTATGCAAGTATTGCTTAAAGTTGCCGTGTCCTGTAATTAGCTGAGTGAGGGTGTAACTAGGGTAAAAGTGGCGAAGAATTGCAGTAGTGTCAACCTTGGGGATGAAAGTGTAGGTGAGCCTACCAATGGTGTCACGGTCCCAGATGTCTTGCTAGAGACTTGCTTCTTGACATGATTGTTGATGTACACGGTAGGAATGTAACTGAAAGTACTTGTGACTGAAGACTTTGCAGCTTGTTTGGCAAGATGAAGATGGTCAGTGGTCTTGTTGCCTAGAACCCTGCATGACCCAGGACCTGTTGGAAATCTATTCTAATGTTGTCTGAGTGTCTGAGAATGTGGTGTTTGAGTTTTATCTCATACACCATATTCTCATATACCCATACATTTAATTCACACATACATAACAGGCAAAATATTAACCATGCTTTTGAGTTTATATTGTAATTTGTTAGAAATAATGAACACACCGTATTTTTACTTTACGTGGAATGCACAAAAACAATTCTTTTCCTTTGAGAAGCAAAGATGAACCCCACATTTTTCACATTTTACTCGAGAACGTCCTTTGCACTTTGGAAATTTGCATCTACTAGGCAGGGCACCGTTTTTGTGAAGAGGCATGTGTTCAATTCCATCATACTGAATCTTGTTGGGAGTCTGGTCTCTCCTTGTTGCCTCTGATTAAAAGTCTATGGAGATGTGGCAGATGGTTGACCTGTTTTTCTAACTGGAAATTTCCTTACCACTCATAACCAGGGCATCAGCCAGTCTCATACAAAAATGCAAAAGAACTATTATTTTATTCTGTTGAACACCAATGGCTTTGGCACTTGTTCTGTATTACAACCAACTCTCTACAACTGCAAAATCTACAACATGGAAAATTGCTTGCAGTGTCAACTTAGATTTTATAAAAATCCTGTAATAACTCATCAATTGATCAAAAAGATCAACACCACCCATAGAGTGGTTATAGAGTTTCACAACTTTTGGCTGATCAATGCTAACACACTTTTTTCTTTCTTCTCCCAGCATTCAACTTTGTCAGGTTTTCCTTTCCCAATAAAATTTGATCCAAGAACAACTATTTTGTTGTCAACCTATTTCACCAGTGTTATATCATCTGTGCTGCAAATTTCTTCAGAAAACCCTCTTTCCTTCTTCAGAGACACCACCGAAATCAGAGGAGGATTAGTAAACCGGCTTATTCTGGCAGTTCCAGCAGGACATATGTTGTCTTGTTTAAATACTTGAAGTAGGTTGTAAGAAAGAAAAAAGTTGTCAAAAAATATATTACAACCCTTTTTTTGTTTATACTTTCAACTAACTGTAAAACTACAGTTGGTCCTTGTCTGAAAGTTTTCAACAGATTTCTGAAATTCAGTAGATGCTCCCTGGTAGAGAATAAAGTCAGGTTTGTCCACTCTTACAACATAGTATATACATTTTTATTTCCCATGGAGATGGCTTACCTTTTACATACTGCTTCACAGAGAGCTGTCCTGTAAATGGGATCATTGCCTCAGCAACTGCTAGTTGTTCCTCCACAGGTAATGCCAGACATCTGTTGCATAGAGCAGTGTATATAGGCTGAACTTTATAGAATTTGTCTTTATTGTCAGTCAAAATTCTCAATGTTGTCTACAAGATGCAAATTTGTTCTCAGTTGAAAGAATCTGTCTCTAGTTCATACTGTCCAAGAATAATTGCATTTTCAGTGGTGTGTCCCAATACATTTGAACTCTGGGAAATTTTAGAGTTACCATAATTATATGAATCCCAAACAATGTTTTCAGTTCTGAGCTGTGGTTGATCTAAAATTTCTAGTCCTTCCACTTTGTAATGCATATATATTTGTCATTTCAGCCATTGTATTGAAGAGGTTATTTGGAACATACTTGCCAAAATATGTCAGAGGAACCAAAAATTCCCTGTCTAAGTCATTTGGTTCCTATTCAGAATAAACATCCCTTACCAAAATTGAGCAATGACACCACTTGATATATTTTCTTCCAGTCAGGGAGTATTTTATTTCATCAGTTTAACTGTGAGTAACTTTGTCAGTGTCAACATTACCATTATCATTATAACTAACTTCATTTTCTCCACTTGATATTTCTGTTATTAGTCTCTGCCCTGTTGATCTTGTCAGCTCCTACTCTCACTGGTTGTTTATGTGAAGCACAGGAAGATTTGTCTTCAATAAATGTTTCTTCATCTGAAGATAGGGAAAATGTCAGATTTAGAGTTGTCATTAGCATTTCTAAAAGGACATCAGCATCTCACTCCACGTTGTATTGCATGTTTGCCATATTGAAAAATCTAAAAAATAAAAAATAGTCACAAATAATAATCACAGTTACATCTTCCAATAAAATACCTAATTAATTAAAAAAATGTAAACATAATAACCACACTGTCAAAGATTAAAAGTAACAAGGTACAAGTCGACCCCCCTATAACACTGTTGATTATTCCGTTTTATATGAATTCCATGTTGTACAAGTCACTTAGATTTCACAAATACGTGAGATGTTCACAGCCCGGCACACGTATTTGTAAAATCTACGTGACTCGTACAACATGGAATTCATGTAAAACGGAATTATCAACAGGGTTATAGGGGGGTTGACTGTAACAACAATAATAGCATTCAAATATCATAATAATTGTAAAGATTATTGGTAATACAAAAGACTCATGATATATATTTTGATGTAATACTGCTCAAAAGTTGTAAAATAATCGTTACAATGACAAAAAACACTATATGAAATAATCATAAAGACTTTTTAGGTTATGTCACTGTTTCTTTGTTACAGTGCTTGAGACAAAATTTGAATTTGTATTTGCAAATTAATTTAATTTAGTTTTACAGATTATAAAAGTAGACAAATTATTTTGGTTTCAAGAAAATAAAATTTATTATATCATCATTTATATTTTTTTAATATATAAATTTTAAAAACAGCAATTTTACATGTATATCCAATAGGTTCGAAAAATTTTACAGAAAACTTGTAAGAGAGAGATGTTTTATTATCGTAAAATTACTGACAGACCATTAAATGAATCCGTAAATACTCAGCACTCAAAAGATGAGACAGTTTTAACCTATATTAAAAAACTTTCAACAGGTAAGAATTTATATTGGATAATTTTTAGCATTTTAAAATTTTGATTAGAAAAACTGAATTAAACTGATTTGTTTCAGAAAATCGAAAGTTTTTCCCAGTTTTTAAAACAAAACAGACTGAACCAAACAAAAATATAAGCATTAAACAAGAATGTTTAACAAATGGAACAACAGATAAAGATAAAAATAATAATAATGACCAAGATGATTCTTCTCCCATTGTATTTTACCAAGGTACAGTTGTAGATATACAGAAACTTGTACAGCAGTTGGTGAAACGAGAAAAAGCATGTACTGAAGCTGAACAAAGATTACGAGAATTAGAATTACAATTAAGTAAGTTTATTAATTTTATATACAGTATCAAATTTTTTAAAAATATTAATAATAATTTTCATCATTATGAACAGAGGAAATGCAAGAAAAAGTGAGAGTTAGTGAAAACCAAAACAATAAAGCTAATATGGACTTGATAGAGCAACAACAGAAATTGAAAAACACAGAAGAGGAACTGAAAAAAGTACAATCTCAATCAGAAAAATATCGAAAAGCACTATCTAACTGTCAAGATCAGTTGCACTCTCTTCATTCTTCTGTACAAAGTGTCCTTCGTAGATCGTCTTCCAGATCTGGTTCCTCTTACAGCTCCGATACCAGAAATGATAACTCTACAATACAGTTAAAAGAAGAAACAAAAAGTGACAATTAATTACGACAGGTTATATGCCATATATATATATTGTACAGTGTAATTACAGTTTATTCATCTCAGAAAATCAAGCATCAATTGCAACCAGTGAATTCCTTTGCACTTCAACAAAATTTTGCACGGTGTTTTTGCCATTCCTAATTTTAAAATGAGGAATTTACCTCTTTTGTGTCATAAATTTGTTGATCACAAACATTAAAATAACAAATGCACACTTTGTTGTAAACATGTTTGTAATTATGACAAGATGATATAGATGCCATATAGCTGGTAGGTAGTTAAATTCTATTGTTTGTTTTTTTTTTCTTTTTTTGTAAATATTGGAATTTAACTGTGTTATAATTACATGCTAGTCCATAACAAAGATTTTATAAATCTTGAACGAATAAATGTAGAAAAATTTTTTCTACAGATTTGTTTATAGATACCATTTTAAATTTTGATTGAAAATTAATAGTGAGTGTTTTGTATGAAACATATTATTTATGTAAATAAAAGTTACTATGGAATATAGGAGAAAATTCAATACATTAATTTATAATGCAGACAGACAACCCATTTTATATTCAAAAATTTGTTTTATTCAGCAACATATTTTTGGAGTTACATTTTCTTCAGCATGCTTTATCATCATAAGTTTTTCTTTATATTTCTCATACGTATAAACAAATCCACCAACTATATTCAAGGAAAGTCCAATGACATTCAAATAATGAAATTTGACACCACCAAATGTCATAAAGCCAATCAAAGTCTGGAACATGCTTTTAATTATCCCAACTAGACTTGTAGTCAATGCAGAATTCAGAGTCGTACACAGAAATAAAGAGTAATTGAGAATAAATCCAATGCCTATTTCTGCAGTTAAACACAACAGAAAGCTAACATCTGAAAAAAAAACTAAAATTTTCAAAAAGAAAAGAACTGTATAATATTTTAAAGTATACTCTACCTGAGATTTTCTGAAAAAGTAAGACCTTAGTAAATTCTTCAGTCATAAGGCCTAGTAATATGAAAATAGGTAATGTATTATAACTGTTCAACTGGAGAATATCTAAAGTAGACATATTCTTCTCGGCACTATGTTGTACCAGGATAAGATAAACTCCTTGTGCAATAACACTTAACACACCATAAAAATATGCCCATGTGTCAAATGTCAAATCTCCTAATCCTGAAATGAACAAGGACTCAAAACACTCTCATTTATAATTTCTTTTGCAGAAAATCTTACCAGCAGTGATGCATCCTAGAGTAATCAGTCCAATGGATAAGAATATTTTATATGAAGGCCACTTTTTATGTAATATAAATAGAGAGAGTAATGAAGGGTGTACATCTCTTAATTGCTCCATACATTGGTATATTCATGCCTCCTAGTGCATTCAAGGATAGCACAGAATGAAGGGCATAGAAAATAGATGGCAAGACAAAACTAAATCCTGAAAGAAAGAAATAAACAAAAGTTTCTAAAAACAAACTTAAAATAAAAGTACAAACCTTTCTTAATATTGTAAGGATTCAATTTGATGCATTTCAAGAAAGAACAAAGTTCTAACAAGATGACAGTAGTAATCATTTGACAAGCCATAATAAAAAAAGGAAATTTAAACATGTAACTTGTGAAAATGATCTTGTTGATGAAGACCATGAGCATAGAACATGTTCCATACAATATTACGGATCCCAAGCTGGCAAGCAATGACTGTAATTTAATGCATAATAAAATCGGATTTGAATCATTAAATCTTATACATATAAAATGCTTCAAAAAAGATTTGATAATAAACAGAAAAATTTGAAATATAACAAACTGTTCTATCAAATCTATCTCAAGGCAGGAAATATGATAGGTATCCCTTGTACAACATGGTTTCACTCTAATAGTTTGAAAACACAAAGTTTTTAAGTGCAGACCCTGTAATTTGATACTTTTTATATTAAGCAAGCATGAGTGTTGTCTCATATTTGCATATGGATTTTAGAATATTGAAATTTTCAGTATTGTTTTGTGCCCTTTCACCCAGTTTTCTTTCAGTAATGAGAACCGATTGTACAATTTTTTCTTCCTTATGCTAGCTGCTTATTCTAGCTTTCCTATAAACCAGGTATCACTGTCATTGGTTATACTGATCTAAATGAACTCAAAAGACTCACCGTGCTTTGTTTTTATAGATTAAATTTTTAAAGATCTCTTAGGCAAATACAAACAAATGAAAATATGTAGAGAAAAATAAAGATGTTGCAATACTTTGGCTTAAAGTCAATAGGAAAGTTCAGATGACAATGATATTTTGCCGAAAAGAAAATGTCCTCATTTAACGATGTTTAGCAATGAAGAAAAAATTTATATTAATGTGCAATACTTTTGATTGCAATTGTTAGTTAATTATTGATTGCTTTAATAAACATTTCTCTTAATTACAAAAAGAGAAAAGTTAGCAAAAATATACTTTTTGCTAACTTTTGTAACCTAATTCTATGTTTTGTATTAATCCTTTGATTCATATAGCACAGATTTGCATAACAAGGCACTTTTATGGAACCTAAGTACCATGTTATATGGGGAATAACTGTATATAATCTTTAAAAAAATTTAATTTCTTCAATTATATCCATGTTCTAAGTTAGTTAATAGTTGCTCAGTGCTGTAGAATCTGTCATTGGCATTTCCTTGCTTAATCCTTTGATTAAGCAAGGAAATGCCAATGACAGATTCACTAAAAATCACTTTTTAGTATAGCAGGAATTTCCTTGCTTAATCTTTTGATTAAGCAAGGAAATTCCTGCTATACTAAAAAGTGATTGTGAAATTTAAGGCAGTACACCATGTAGAAATTTATAATTTGACCATAAATTTCTTGAGTTTAATCATGTACAATATGAAAATATTTAATGATTCTATCTGTCATGTCTTGTCTTAAAACAATAATGCTTTATTGTTTTAAGACAAATGTCTGCCATTGAATGTCATTGTTAAAATTTTAAAAGTTCTTTTGTCATTAAACTTTCCCTTTCTTTGCAGCAAATATAAATAAAATGTAATTAACAAAACTATTTTTAAACTACATAACACTAAAACTTTAAAAATTCAATCTTTTGGTCATTAGTGTGTTATAATTTAATAATATTCTGTTAAATATATCTTTCATAACTACACAGAATTGTAATATGAATATTTACATTTGTATGTGCTGTAAGTTAGAACTTCTAGATAATAATAACATTTTTCTTCATTTTATTAAAACTTGCTAGAAAAAGTAACTGTTTTCAGCTATTTTGAATAGCCTTCCTCAGGTTTAACATTTTGAATGTCAATTAGAACAAAAGTTTTAAAATTTTGTTTTAAATCTTTTATGGTGTTTAGCAGTGAAGAAAAAATTTATATTAGCATGCAATACTTTTGATTGTGATTGTTAGTTAGTTATTGATTGCTTTAATAAACATATTCCTCTTAATTATAAAAATATAGGGTTAGTTTACAAAAGTTAGCAAAAGTACTATTTTGTACGGTACATCTATACATATATAAAAATGAATGTGTGTGTGTGTGTGTGCCCTTTATGCATTACCACACCGTTTATCTGATTGCCGTGAAACTTTGGGAAGTTGTTTAATATACTCCCGTGAAGGTTTCTGGCATAGTACATTTATCCTATGATAGATGGCACGCGTGTATATGAGCATTTTACAGTGTGTTCGATCAATTTCAAATTGTGAAGACCATTTCCCCCCTCCAAAAAATATCTCTATATATGCATTTGTTATTTACAATATTTGTAATAATTTTTGTTTAATCACTTTATTTCAACTTTTTTTGCTAATTATGTATTCGCTCAAACTTTGTTAAAACCTTAACTATATCCCGAACAACAACCAAAGTTGTCGAAGGAAATTCACATATTTTACCGATCTAGGAATCCCCCTTTTCCAAATTTTAATATCAATTCAAAATAATTTAAAAAGACAAATTACAATAAAACAGTTTATTGTCCAACTATCAGAAATTTCACATGCCAAGGAAGAGAGGAAGGAACAATTAAATAATCAAAATTATAAGAGATTAAAAAATATATATAAAAATGGGGAATATCGCACTTCTAACAATCTCTGCAAGTATGTGGACTAAATTTAAAGAATCTGTGCTTCTCACATGTACAACTGTATGTGGCCTGCTTGCATGTCGGAAAACCTTCTGATTTATTCGTGTATGCACCAAACGGAAAAACAAAAAATATCGTGTATCCACAAGCACTCCAATAAATAAATAGAATTGAAACGACACTTTGAAATGTTTTTCCGATGAAAATGAATAATAATAATAAGTTTCAATAAAAATGATAAAATGTAAATTGAATTTTATCATAACAAGTTTGCTTGAATTTCCTTTCTTCTGAGATTGCAGCAATGCGTGACGGGTAAGCTAGTTCCCTATATATTAAAAGTAGGCCTATTTCAATTATAAGTATATGTCAATTATGGGTTTGGATACCACTGAGCTAACATGGATGTCTGGTTTCATATCATCCAGCTGTCTGTACTGGGGCATGAAAAAATATGCTCTTAGTGTCTGCAGAATGGGAAGATTTTATACAACATATATATCTGGAGGCTTGATAATCAGCCTTATCATTTAATTATTAAACTTAAAAGCTAGGAAAACATGTAATAAACAGTATTTTTATAATTAAAGAATTGTTTTCCATAAACAATGATATATTTTGTTGTTTAGGGATTGCTTGCTAAACAAAATTCCATGTTGTTTTCAAAACCATGTTTTGCGAATATATTGGACTTCAAACTCACATTTGAGTTATAAATAAACACTTGGCTTTATTTCCACCATTTTAGTCCAAACAAAATTCCATTGAATTGTAAATAAGTAGGTACTTAAAAAAGGATATTTTCTCTTATAATTGGTAATTTAAATAATAAGAATATTTGTTAAAATGGTTATATAATAGAATTTATCAGTAATTCATAAAGGAAAGCAACCATTTCACCTCTTTGCTACCATTGTCATTGTCAATAACTGGATCATTATGAGAGAGCCATCACTTCCTTGTGGAGATAGATTAGACTCTGTGTGCACTCTAATCTCTTTACCATCTTCGGTTTTTCCATTTATAAACAAACCTTGTATTGTTGCCTGAAAGTCTTCTACTTTTTTGATTAATCCCTTAAAAGGAAATAAGGCTTCCACTAAAGGATGCAATGACTTTCTTAGTTTCTCATGACTTCTTTTTTTATCATCCCTTGTTCTTCCTATGGCACTACTTTCCTGTAAGCCTTTAACTATTAGGGGCAGTAAAATGAAAATGAGACAGATGAGAAAAAAGTAAGTAAACTGTTTATTATTTCAAAAGTAATTGCCATAACTTTTAATACATTTATCCCACTGTGAGACAAGACAGTCAATGCCTTCATAGAAAAATGATTGTGGTTGTCTTTCTTTGGGGCTCCAAAAATATGGAAATTGCATAGGGAGAAATCAGGACTGTATGAGGATGTGTATGGACTATGCTGCAGAAGTTCCCAGTGAAACTTCTGCAGTGTAGTCAAAACCTTGGTAAAATGTGGGTGGGCATTATCCTGCAACAGAATGATGCTATCTGTCAACATTCCTGGGTGTTTGGATTTGATGGCACGCTTCAATTTTTGCAAAGTTTCTATGTACCGCTATGCGTTATTTGTGGCGCCATGCTCCAGAAAGTCAACAAGCAGCAGACCATAGTGATGTTGGACGCACAAACAACTCGTCAACCTCACTTTGAGCACGTCTAACAGACAAATGGCACATCGGTGAACATTCACGATGTTCCTTCCTGATTCACAATAGAGGGCACTTCTATATACATACCTACCTGCATTACCAACTTCCGTGCCACACTTGTTATATAGTCTGTCTTGTTTTGATTTGACTGCCACTAATATAAACTTCAACGTTTCCCATCTCTTGAAATTGACCTTGAAACTTATTATTATTATTATCAAAGACCTCTCTTAAATAAATCTTATTATCAGAATATAGATATATCTTTTCTCCCTTCTATTTCAAACCCATCTGGTTTATGCTGTACTCCTGTGCTTATTGTTACATTGATTTTAACTGCAGAATAAATTTCCAGTCCATCAATTGGAAGAATTCTATTACTTTCAAATTCCTTTTGTCCCCTAACTTCTCTTTGTTCACCACTTTATTCTATAATATTTAGTATTACAGCTGTACCTTCATCTTGACTAAACAGCACAAATGTTGTAGCTTTTCTTCCTATGTTTTCATCTTGATTTGCATAAGCAAAAATATGTTTATCTAAGCCACCATAGTTTGTAGCCAAAATCTGCCCAAGTACTAATTTACTCAAATAATGGTACTCATGGCTCTGAATTGAATGATACAAATTCTTCAATTCACTTTTTAAGATATTCTTAATTCTGTCTATATGATGTTGATTGAACCTCCCCGATTCCTTCAATATTTGACTTATAAAACTCTGTGATTGGAAAACATCACTTTTTTCCACTTTTAATCTCCCATCTTTAGCTACCCCTGCTGTGACATCTGCTTTAGTTCTATTGCTTAGATTATACAAGTAGTCTTTGTTCTTGATCTGTGCTATAGCTTCATCAGCAGTATGACCTTCTCCTTTAAACTGAACAACTACCTGAATAGGTTTAGGATTCATTCTACCATTTGCATCTTTTGTGTGAGACATAAATATTAGACCTGCACATCCGTTACCTGCAGCATGCTCAATATAAGAGTTAAGACCATAATGGTATTTAAAATTTAATGCTAAAGCACCGTAGTAGAATCCATGATATGCTGCTTCTGAGTTTCTTAGAATTTTTCATGATTATCTTGATATATACTAGCAAATTCTTTAAAAAATTTTTTCTGTACTACGATTACTTCCTTTATATCTCCATCAAAAAGCTTTTTAAAATAATCATCAAGATTTGTAGACTGAACACTGACCTCTTTAAACCCATTAGTAATTTGAAATTGAGATGCTGCTGCTGCTTTAAATCTTTCTTTTACTTCATCTGTCTACCCTCTATATAATCTAAATGGTTTATTGCCTGGGTCTCCTTCAGTATGAATATGAAACACATGTTCATCTACGTTTATGTTATCTATACTAGAGACACCTAACTTCTCTGCTATTTCTTTAAGTTCATCATCACTATAATGATATTTATCTCCTGGATTTCCACTGCCTGTAATTTCATCATTTATGAAAACTCTAAGGGCTATATGTTTTTTCCATCCTTTTCAAAAGAAAAACATAGCTTATCGTTGCCATGTTTTTCAATCAGTCGGCTATCAGGAAGCATTAAAACTAAACACAATAAGCCATGAATAAAAAACTCTTTTTTAGATGTTGAAATCAACATTTGGAGTTTCATAAAGCAATGAACTGAATTTTTCAGCAAACCCTATAGGATTCTCTCTGTTCATTGGAAGAACTGGATTACCTTTATTGTTATTTGGATTAACTGGTTCAGTGAGTAATAATTCCATTAACTCAGGTTTATGTTCAATGTGTTTTGTTTTAACTGTTGCTTTTGGCATTTTTTTATCTATTTTATCATACTATGTGCTACTTCTTTAAATTAATTAATTAAATTCTAAACTACAAAGTCTTTTAGCTGAACTACTTTCACCTTCCTTCATACTTCTCTTTTTATTATTTTCTTGAGCAAGATAGTCTAGTAACTGAAAAAACTTATTCCACATATCTTTTTCTCTCTTTAGTTTTTCTTCTGAACAATGCCATATGATAAGTTTCTTGAACTCTTCTTTGAACTTAATCATTATGTCTTTGGATGTTATATACTCTTGAACAAAGAATTTTAGTGAATCCTGTTTATTGCTATAAATTAAACTTTCACAGATATCCTTACCTTCATGATAAAAATGATTTTCTTTTTTCTGCAAGAATTGCATCTTTCAAAACTAATGAGATATTTTTCTTATCTTTAATCTTAAATAGTTTTGATAATATAGACCCACTAGCACATTCATCTATAGCATATCTTTTATGAGCATTAGGACTTTGCTGCCAAAATTCCCCAAAAAGCTTTTGATAATCAAATCTTTGTTTTCCTCTATCACCTTATCGGCCATTTTGCTCAAAAAATAATGACAATCCTCTTCAGAAAGAAAACTCAACATATGGTTTGCTGTTTCCATAAAGAGACTTTGCCATGGCCAATCCAAAAAACACTTCAGTACTTTAAGAGGATTGCTTTTAAATACCTCTATTTGTTGCTCTTCGTCCATTTGTGAGAAAAAACATCAGCATAGTGTTCTTTAGGAAGATCGGTATGGTTGCAAGCAGTCACAATGTCTATTTGTCACATATCCTGCAGATCTTACCAAGGATTCTTCTCTTTCCCTAGAGGTTAGTTTTTGCAAAAAATATTCAATTGCCACTTTATTACCACCAACTGCTGCATATTCAAATGCACATTGATAAGGAGAACACTTACTTTGCCATCTTCTTTCAAGCATATTATCCTTATTAGCTACTTCTCCCTTTGTATCATATGTCCAAAGAACCACTAGTTCCTGCTGCCTAACCTTTCTTGGGTCTTTGCTACAAAAAGATTTTCTGTGATTTTCAGGTATTTTGTTCCATAGTTTCAGAATATCATCATCTAAGCAGTAAATACATGCCAGTCTATAGCATCTGGTAATATCTAAACTCTCATTTTTAATTAACACCCTTGTTGTTTTCTTTTTACCTACTGTCCCTTGCAGTGTCCAGCAGAAATTATTTGGTAGATTATACAAAGATAGGGATTTTCATCATGATATTCCATCCATTTTAATATTTGTAAGACTATTGGCTTAATAAACCCCATATTTTCTCAAGTTAAAACAACTTTCTTACATGCATGCTGGAACATATATAAATTAACACTCAAACCTTAAAAGTCCAGTAGTAAATATTTAATAGAAAACAAACACTTTCAACCGTACTTTCAGTTTTGTTCTACGCATTCACGTGTTCAAATCCCACTGGTTTTTTAAACCTGAAAAAGATCGAAAGTACAGTCAAAAGCATTTGTTTTCTATTAAATATTTACTACTGGACTTTAAGGTTTATGAGTGTTAATTTAATTTAATATTTTCTCTTTTAAAGGTCCAGGTTATGGAAGCTGTGATACTTTTTCTATTACTTTGTCTTCTATCTCCTGCCATTTTTCTCTTCTTTCACTACCAAACAATGGAAAATAGAATTTTGCCATTAAAGCCCTAATATCATCTTGATTCCACAATGTGGTAGCTATCTTAACTAGAGCTCTATGCTTAAGTGATGACATTAAAGTGTATTTCATTATTTACCCCCTACTGAAATACTTAGTGTATCTTATTAATAATGCAAAAAAATAAAAAATAAAACATATTTTATTCTATTGTGGTATCTTGGATCACACACACTCAAACAAGAAAAAGCTTTCCATGTAGATTTGTTCACATCAACTTTTATTTAAATTCTAATGGGCATTATAGATGTTTTTTAAATAAAGCTATAGGAAACAATATCTGATTATAACTAATGCTATAAAAACCCTTTAAAGGCTTTGTTGTGTGTCTATTACACTTAACCTCAAAGCATATCTGCAAACTTAGAAATTGAGCTAATTAGTGAAGGTAAATCGTTTGCTAACTTTTGCACAAAATTCCTCAGCAGTGGCTTAATTTGACTAGTTTTTCAATCTCATCTGTCATGAATTTTTTTTCAAATTAAAAATTTTCTAGCATGACTAAAATTGAGCATTTCAAGTTTAAAACAAAATATTTCTGCTATTATATAAACCCTTTTAGAAACAGTGTTCAAATTTTATTATAAACCTTGTTCTTAATGGTCAAACTATCCAATACCTTCTTAACATCAGATATATTGCCAGATACCAACAGTGTGTTAGGTTCGCTTGATGACAACATTCTGAAATAAATTTATTAAAAATATAAATGATCTTATATTAGTATTGAGTAATAAGAATTTCTCTGCACTTACCAATGAGAAATTACAGTAAATATTCCTCCGATAGGCTTTGTGTCGACTGACATGAAGGATTTACACTAAGAATATTAACTTGTAGTATATCATATATGCTGTGATATCATCGAACTATAAAAGAAGAGCATAATTTTAAAACATTGTCATGATGGCATATGATTCTATATTAGAAATATAATCAATATGTTGAGTAAATAATACCAAACACTTCAACTATTATTAAGTATGCAATGGAATGTATTTAATTAACTTTGGCAAACAATATATGAATAATTATACATATTTTTAAGTAATAAAATAATTTTTTTTTAATGGATTGAATAAATATTTGTTAATGTAGCAATTAATCTAAAAGCAATAACATAAAATGGATAGACAATTTATTAAATTGATACAGATGATAGATAAGGACAAATTCAACATGTCGGAAATAAACGGATCGGCAACTATTTGCAGGACAATAAATCAATATGCGTCGTCCTTTCGCAAATGTTTTTCCGTGGGACGACGCGTTCATTCTTCCGTCATAACAGACTAAATACAGAAATAAAGAGCCCAAAGGGACCGAGATCATTTTAAATTAGTCTTAAAGCTTGGCACACCAACTGTTATCCTCCAATAATATATTTTTGTTTTCCTTCCTCTTAATCATGTCACCTCTGTCTCCCAGAGTTTTGAAGGAGGAACAAAAAAAAAAAAAAAAAACACTCCACTTTGATTTAAATTGATAACACTCACTGTCAAGCCAATATGATGGCAATTTTGGAAAAGGAAATTGAATTGGGTGTATTAATCACTAAGCTTTTCAATGTGCATTTTCTTTTTTCCCCTCCCATCTCTGAGAATATTCTGGCAATCCATCTCCATCAGCAATGAAGTATATCAAACTCAGGTTGACATTTTTCTTAGATCAATAGTGTCATGTTTCCTTGTTTCATTCTTATAAGAAAAAAAAAACTATATGTATGATTGACTGATGAAATTTTACTTTCTTCCAGACAGGAACCATTAGCTAAATTTAATATATATGAACATTAAGAATTTCTCTATCTAAAAACATTAACCAAATTTAACAAATTCTATTAGTTTATGCTAAATTCTAGAATGTGTAAAGATTTAATGCTTTATTATATTTAATAAAGCTTAAAAATCTTTAATTAATGTAGCATCCCATCGTCTTGCTAGCCTAAGCAAAAGACAAGCAAGCTTTACCGGATGCATATTATAATTTATCAGAAAAAAATGTCTATAAATGAAATATATATACACTTACTTGCATAATCTGCCAGCTCTTAATGAATATTGTATGGCTGATGGAAGTACAGTACAGTACTTAGCATGTGTTCCTGCATTCCACCATCTGTCACATGGAGTTTTTTAACACCTGTCATCAGGTAGCAGCTGATATAAAACAGTGTGAAGTTTCCCCTCATTTAAACTGTATTTAATATTATTTAAAATAATTATTTTCCATATTTCCACATTTAAAAGTTCAAATTTCCATAATATGGAAATTTGAATCGTTTTAAAATTAATTTTATGCATCGTAATAAAATGCATCGTATTTTTTTTCTATTAATTTATTAGTAAAATTAAATAATAATAAATGTGTCATTCTGTAAAAACAATTAAATTTTATTTTTAATATTTAATTAATTAACAATGGCGCGTTTTGTTTGTTGTTTCGGCGCATTCAGCAGGTGGCGCTTTCAGCTTTCGATAGATGATGCAATGTGCACAACCTGACAAAGAGAATTTTTAATATTATAATTATAATTAAAATGCTTTCTGGATAAATTTCATTAGCAATTAAGTCATTTTAAATTAAATATAAAGACGAGCGTACAAATTGCAAGTCACACAATTGTAAAGCGTATTAATTCTACTAAATTCTTGAAAATATTTTCAAGAACTTTCTAAATGTACAAAAGGATAAAATAAGTGGGTTTAATTTGATTAAAATTGCCAATTACCTTTAAAAAGCCACCTTACATACGAGGAAAGTTCAATCTGCGTTTTGAATGGCGTCCATATTGCTTTTAAATACGCAAGTTTTCTACAATAGATGGCGCTGAAGTAGTAATTGTCTTGTCAGTTTCTTGCATTAAAGCTTCAGTAGTGTGACGTTGATGTCACTTTTATAAGCCGGATATAGAATTATCTGAAAATGTTTTAAACATTTTAATTGCTTGCCTTGATTACTTGGGATTTTCTAAATAAAATTCATTAAAAATTTAAAATTGTTTTATAATTATTTAGTTTAAATGATTAATTGCACGTAGATTGCTAATATTTTTATATAAGGTAGGAAAGCTCATTATGGCCCACTAAGTTTGGACTGTTATTTTGACCATTTCTAATTTAATTCATAGTCAAAAGAATAGCCTAAACTTGGTAGGCCTTAGCCTAATTGGCTCTCCTACCTTATTATAAATTGGATTGACAACATAATTTTAAAAAGTATTAGTTAATTGGTGAAAATGTCCACAAATTTACTATTAGAAATTCTTATTTTGCTGCAGAAGAATAAGTTTTTAATATTATTTTTCTAAATAGGTTTGGTTTGTTAGGATACGAAACGCAAAACGTGGGCGATCTGCCAAAGGGGAGTGCCTCCCAGGAAGACTTTCTGTGGAAAACTAACCCCTATTTAGGTGTTAGACACGTGAAGAAACTCCGGAAAACTTCACGTGCCCAGCCTGTTCGTGAGGCTCATTTAAACATATTTACGTTATAAAACAAATTAAATTGATATCGGACGATAAATGCATGATCTCGAAGATCAGAAGAAAGCAAACAATTTATATGTTAATAGTTAATATACCCAACAAGTTATGTAGGAGTTTTGAATCGCCATTGAAAAACAATTGTAGAAAATACCTTTTCCAAATTTCCTGACAATGTAAACAATATACTAAGCTCTTTACATGTGTGTATGTTGTATGTTTTGTGTATAACATTAACATCATAAACATTCTTCTATTAACTATAGAAATATTAATACATTTCTCCAAACATTACAAACAATATACAGTATATTACTTCGAAATGAAGAATATTCACTGTAACATGCTCTGATAGTATAAGTAAATAAAATATCTTTATCTATATTATTTTGGGCGGAGGCTCGACTTAATAAATCACTCATAGCTGATTAATTTGGTCCCAAATTGCTCAGTTTCGAATCTCAGACTCTCTTTCTTTTCTGATATTTATCATCGATAGTAGAATCTGGGTGCATATTTTTAAATATATTGATAGTAAGAAATATGCCACGCATGTAAAATAACTGGACACAAAAACAAAGAACCCCATAAATATAAATTTTACATTTTTATAATTCAAACGAAAGGATATATGAATATTCATAAATCATGCTTTTTACGTGCCATTTTTTTTTCTGAGTTTAATAGATTTTTTATTCATGGAACGGATCTGCCTTCTTGATTAAATGAACATTTATTATGCAAATCCATAAAAACTTTTTTTTCTTTAAAAATATTCCCATAATTGTTATATTCGATAACAATAAAATAAAAACTCAAATCGGTTTTACTTTGTTTATTGAGAAGGAGTTTTGGACCGTTTCCAACTTCTTGTTGGGTAACTCGATGGAGGAAATCAAATCAACACTCGAAATGGTCCAAACAATTTCTAACATCTCGAGATTACTTGAAAAATTGTGGTCTATAACACAGGAAAGGAATAAAAACCGCAAAAAAACACACATAAAAAATAAAATCCAGCTGTTTAAATTAGATAATAAAAACTGCTCCTGCCCAATATCAAAAATTGGAATTTATAATAAATGGTTGATTTAATTAAAAAAAAAAATAGCTTAGTGACCATTAATTTCTTGATTCCTCCATTTTAATTTCACTTTAAGAAAATGTAAATTTAAAAAGTTTAAGAAATTGGATCTTTAAAAATTTCTATTGTTGTGAAATATTGTATGGTTTATGAAATCTGATCTAAAATATAATCAGACCCTGCTCAGTTGTCAGTTTTTCGTGCCTCAAACCGAGGTCTCGTACATTTAAATTTATAAGATAATTTGATAACAAAATTATTTTTTTACAGTTATTTTGAGGCACCACTAATAAAGTTTTCCCGAGGCCCCGCAAAACTTCCAGCAGGTCTTGAATACAATCCGTGATTTAGTGAAAAAGCAAAAGAAAATAGTTTTGGCTAAATCTCGCCAGGGGCATAAATAGCGCCACCGACTGTATATTTTGTACAATTGTCGTTTTGCGAGAGTGTTTAAAAGCGTAGTGCGTTAGTTAGAGGGCTAATATGTTACGTCATTTTCCAGAAATGTGACATTACGTCGTTACGTCATATAATTGATATCATTCCCAAAATGTTTACTCTGACCATACAGCAATACAGCACTTTTGGAACTAATATTCCTGCAGTAGTTTATCAATAAAAAATCCTTATATATATATGACTATTTTCTTTCCTATTACAAGTACAGTCGACCCCCCTATAACACTGTTGATAATTCTGTTTTATATGAATTCCCATGTTGTCGGAGTCACTTAGATTTTACAAATACGTGTGCTAGGCTGTGAACGGCTCACGTATTTGTAAAATCTAAGTGACTCGTACAACATGGAATTCATATAAAACGGAATTATCAACAGTGTTATAGGGGGTTGACTGTATTAAACCCAACTCGAATTTCACTTCATTGTGACGATGCTCATGTAGATTTGAATAGACACTAAGTATAGTCCCTTGAATTTAATGTTACTTAGTAATTAAAGTCTTTTATCAGAGGCTAAATTACAAGATTTTTAATTAAAGGATAGGAGATCCTTTAATTAAAAACTATTGGTCTTATAAGTGGACCTAATTACTTGTATAACAAGGCGTAAGTAAAAGGCTAATACCTTTATAATTAAAGTAATATACGGTGCTTGTATTTCAAACTGTCCCATGGCTTGGAATTCTTTGGAAATTTCACAACAGCTTACTCACGCAAATTATCAAATTATAAAAGTTTTCTAAGTGGATAAATTCAAAATGTTGGAATCACCGAGACTCAATTTACCAAGATACAAGAGACAAATTCTGGTTGACAGTCGGAGCATCCTCTCAGTTACTGCTTTATAAGGCATTAGTTGTTGTAGGTTTTTGGAAGCCTGGAGCGGAGAGGAACCCATTGAAAGTCGTTTATCATAGTCAGCAGAGTGTTGTCGACACGAGTGCTGCCTGCCGGTAATTTACACCGACTTGGGTGGTACTGACGTCTCTTTGATGAATTACATTACAGTCACACGATATCGACGGGGAGAGTAAGACAATGCGAGCGACTCTGCACCCCTTTTACTTTCGTTTTCAATAGTTCTGACGCTTTCCAGACAATTCTATTAACAGGTGGATTTGATCTCTTCTTCAATTGGCATTGTCCTTTACGGATTTTGTACGTCACAAATCCGAAATTACTTTCGTAATGCCTTAACCCAATTAAGTTCTAGAAATCAGTAAAGTCGTTTATGTATGATTGTGACGTGTGTAAATATAATTAAGAAAATCAAATTTTGTGAATATTTTAAAATAAAATGGCGTTTATATACCGTATAATGTAACTAATTAATAAAACTTAAAATTATCGTTTAAGTTAGCAGATTACACTTTTTTCAAAATGATTCTCAGCTATTTAATTTTTAATCGATCGATACAACAAATCGATGTATTGTAATAGAAATTATTTAGTTTAAAATATATGCTCTCCACCTCAAATTAGTAATGTCTTGCCCCTGTACATCATACTTTTCCTGTTAGCAATAGCGTCGTCCCAGTCATTTATCTAACTCCTTTCAGGGGAAACGTTTTGAATTGAAATAACACTGGAAGTCTGTATACAGTTAATCGGGGTTTCTTGCCCCTAAGCTTTCCATATCTGGTCTCTACTTTTATCTATCTAACTCCGTTCTTGAAATTAAGGAAGGACAAACAGACAGACATACGTATTAGTATTAATAAAAATAACTGAACCTTTAAAAAGTTCTACATTTTTTTTAAATATCAAAGGTAAGGATATAAATTAATTTTAAAAGGGGCTTAAATGGTCCTAGTTTTCCGTAGAGAAGCCCTCCTTGGCAGATCGTCCTTGTATCGCGTTGCCTTCTTCCATGCAATCTTAAATAAACCTGTAATAATTGATGAAAAAGTGTTTTTTTTTTATTTGTTTTACTCATTTTAATCTTATATTTATAATGGTTTTAAATAGGGGTAGAACCTCTGACTAAATCTTACTTCTCTCAGGTTCTGAGTGCATAAATATATACAGTTAAACCTGTAAACAACAATAACTGACGGGAGGTTATTTTGTACGCATTTTTACTTAAAAAATATATATATATTCCTGAAAAAATGGCCGTCATTGAAGATTTCACTGTATTATATTTATATACTCTGTAAGTCTGAGAGAAGTGGGGTTAGTCAGCGGTTCCACCTTTGCTTAAAACCAGTTAAAACCATTTTATAATTGATTATTTAAATACAATATAGAAATTTTTAAAAATTTATTTTAAGAAAATATTTTCTTAAAATCGATTTATTATTAAATATGAGCGATTGTTATTTAATTTGAAAGGAAGATAAATTTTAAATAATTTTATAAATGATAATTTAAATAGTTTTACAAATGATTTTAAATAACGATTTACAAAACCTTTCTAACTTGTTTTTTAAAGGTTTTTGTAAATTGTTATTTATAATTAATTAATTTTTAAAATTGACTTATTTATTTAAATATATTTTTATTAATTTAAAAATATTGTAAAGTAAAGAAAAATGTTTAGATAATCGATTATATAATTAATGGATTAATTCAAAATAAATTTTGTTTTTTGGTTAATTATATATATAAACAACTCCCAACATTTTCAATAATTCAAGAGGGATATTTTGAAAGATTGTTAAATTATTTTATATTGTAATTATTTATATTTTTATATATTAATGAAATGTATCTAAATACACCTCTAAATAACGGCCACCGATAAAAACAAAAAAAATGGCCGCTATTGAGGTTATTTTGTTGTAAGCGTTTCAAAAAGAGACATCTTGAAAAATGGCCGCTGTTTAGAGGTAGCCATTGTTGGAGTTTCGTTGTATTATAAAAGTTTACAAGTTATTCAAATTATCTTTCAATATTTTAGTTTATATCCTTCAATACATAATGAGTTAGATTAATTACAAGCAGTAGGATATTACGCGTCAAGGTTATTCGAGGTCCCAATGCTTTCAAATCCGTGTAGTTTTTAAATATGCCACCAGAGCGCCGGGAGTTGGCTTCTTTCAGAGTTAAATAGTGATGGCGACTTAGGGGTTTCCCCCTAAATTTAGGAGGAAACCCCTAAGTTGCCATCACTATGTCCTTCTGTCCTGATTTCCCTCTAAATTTAGGGGAAATCAGGAGGACGGAATAAAGTTTAGAAGAAATAGTTAAGGGAAAAAATGCAGTCTGCCCATATTGGAGTTTCAGCAACGAATAGGAGTTCTAAAAGTCACATGACTCACGGCAGTTTCTTTTGTGCCCATGTCATCTGTGCCCTAAAATGAAATTTTGTGTTTCTCTGGATTGTCAAAAGAGTAATATATTTTTTAAATGTATTGCACCCGAACAAAACTATTTTGGGAAACTTATAGATTTAGAAGGCATTTCAGGTCTGTTTAAGGGTTTTCCGCGACAGAAGATTGGCAACACTAATTAAATTTCTTCAGATCTCATTGATCTGTACAGCATAAAAATACACTACAGGCATTTTAAAAGATTCTTTTCCTAATATTTAACAGTTCTTCAGCCATAATATCAATTTTAGGGAAAGTGCATTTATTGTGTTTAGTAATAATACATTTTAAAAGAGGCCATTGCTTTAAAAGTCACTGAAAAACAACGTGTTTCATTCGCTCTGCCTCTATTCATGCTCAGTTTAACAATATCGGAACCATTAAGAAATGTTTTAATCTTATTGTGATATGAATAATAAAATGCGGAAATGTTTGATATATTTCTTTTATTATTCAGTAGATAAACCACGGAGAAAACCTGTGCTGCTCCTGGATGTAATGAATCAAACAAGAATTTAAGAGAACTTTCAAAGTTGTAAAGAAGAAGCACGCTACATCCGACGTACTAAAAATTGTTTTCATAAAATATATGTTTTTCCATTACAGTTTATTTTATTTTGTAATTTGTAGAAATCTCTTACATTTTTTAAAGTGGCAAACAATAAAATGTATCTATATTAAAAAGATGTATTTGAATAAAATAATAACGTATTATTAATTAATTATGAAACATTACAAAAAGAAAATAAACATATTTAAACAAATTTTCATATAAAAATAATCTTTAAAAATCAATTATAATTTTTTATTTTTATAATTATACTAACTTGCAAATAATCTTGCTACTCACTTAAACTGCATATGTACCGTACACATACAATATGTATATATATATTATATATTAAATAGTCGCATTAATATTATATGTTTGCTTACTTCTGTTAAAAAATACATTTTTAATTAAAATATTTTACAAGTTTAGATGTAAATTTTAAAAGAAATAATCGAACATTTTATATAATTTCTAATTTTAAAGCATAAATTTCTGAAATAAGAATATAAACCAGAATCAATCATACGAATTTAATGCAAGAAAATGGTGAAATAGTGTAAAGTAGGTAAGATTATAATATTAAAATTATAAAAGGAACTAATCATTTCAAATGCATACAAAATAACCTTCGAACAACGGCCATTTTTTACGTTTCCGTCAGTGACCGTTGTTTACAGGTTTGGCTGTATTAAGATTTGCCTGATATCTTTCATTTGTTATATTCGGTCAAACTTTATAACAAGATAAAATAAAGGCTTTTTTACGAATATATTCGATACGCAAACCGGTATTAACCCAGTTTAAAGCTTACATAAAGCAATATTTTCTTTGTATTTTAGAATAAAACTTTAATATTTTAAAAGTATAAATTAATTTTCACTCGAAGTTAAAGAGTATTTGTATTAGCATAACACTTTTTATAGTAGCAATTTACAAGAATTGGATGTAATAAGTTAATTCCTCTAACTAGATCCAAGTCGAGAATAATTAGTAGAGTCATTTGTTCCTATATCAGGACAGAGAAGAACTTTCAAAATTTAGTTTCTTATGTAAAAAACATGACGCGAGAGTGTTGTAAAGTTTCTTTTGATAAATGATAAGAAATGTTTTTTTCCTTTATTGATTTTATTCATAAATGTTTATAGCTTTCGAGGATGGGTGGGGTCCACATATGTCTCTGGCTCATTCCCCATTTCAACTCTCACAATCATTTTACTAATATAATATTTAATTGTATTTTTATGTTATACTTTAGAAGGAGAGAAAACTACACTTAAAAATAGGAATTTGTTTTGAAATATTGATGTATATTTCTCATTTTTTGGATCAGAAGTTTCGACATTTTAAAATCATCCACGTTTCGGATCCATCCCTGTTATTACTGTTTTAGAAAAAAGTTTATCTAGTTCTATTTAGAAATAACAAACAAAACAACATTTGCTGTTGAACAAAAGATTTTTTTTTCCAGAAACTTTTATAATATTATTATTATCTTTTAAAGGGTTTCTTTTAGCTTGTTATCTGCCTCGATTTCCCGCGTGTAGAATGACATACATTCACTTTCCAGACAGATTCATCTTTCAGATTGATTCCTCGTCTCCGCTAGAAGCCCATCATCATTATATAAAAGATATAAATTATCCTTGACGAAGCGAAGTCTACAAACATACACTAAACTGTTTCTCACTTGTTACTGATAAATTTGATTTCAAAATTTCTTCAATATTATCGAACCAGTGTCCACTAGGGACGTGTAGCACCGAAATTAGAAAAAAAATAAAGTAAATTTACAGTTGCAATTGTCTATCATAATTCTATAGCTACAATTATGTCGTAAAATTATGTAGAGGGGTTCTTTTTCTGAGCCAGGCAACCGGGAGGTCTTACTTAATCCACGTAGTAGATGTATTACTGAGAAAATTATCATGAGAAACTTTTATAATTTTAAATTCTGAACTTATACATATCTTAATTTATCTTTAATTAATTAATCTTTCTTGATCGGTCATTTATTTCATTAAAACAAAGAACTTTGGC